GCTGAGCACATTAACACTACGCGGCCTCCACTTTTGCGTAGCTTTAGTGAACAAAGGTCTTCTGAGCACTCCATCTGCAAAGGTCTGTAAATGCCACCTTGAAAGCAGCATCGTTTTTATCAGAGCAACTGAGGAAGGCAGAAGACAAAACATTTTGCAATGAGAATTTAAAATGTGTTTTGTGTGTCAATGTAATAAATGTACTGTTTTTAGTGATTAACTGCATCCATTAGGGGAGGGGTGGTAGCTCTGGTGGGGGACACATTGTGCTGCTTCTGGGGTGGTTTGTCCACCTTTGGTCCGGATTTAGGTTTGCTGAGGCCCTAAGCTATTGAAGGTAGTGGGGTCTTTTATATGTCCAGCTGTCCTTTGTCAACAACAAATTCTCGCTGCTATATGGTAATTTATGGACCTAATAAGTCCCTACACAACACAAAACACTGTTGCTGTATGTTTTATTTTATTTGTTTTTTATCTTATATTTTGGAAATGCACATCCAGTTTTTCCCCCTTTATTTTTTTGGCTGCCCCCGAAAGGGGCCCTAAGCTATAGCTTGTTTAGCTTACACGTAAATCCGGCACTGGTCCCCACCCTGCACTCAGCTCTCCCCCGGCGGTTCCGAGAAGCTGTCAGCAAGGCTTTGACTGGCCGGCTAAACCAGGTGAGGGGAACCTATGAGTCTCAAACTCTTGGTGTTTTAGGGACTTCCCGTGCATGCGAAGACAGGCTGCAGCAGACTGAGCAGACGAGACCAAGCGTGGGTCCCACAGTCACTGTATGTGCTACTACCACTTCCTCTAAAAATAATAAAAGAATAGCAAACCTTGAAGCAAGCTCCATGAAAGGAGCTTGAGGTTATCTTTTGGGGAACTTACTTTATGGAAGCTTTTTCTCTCAAAAGGGTGGAAGTGGAAGGCAGCCTTCCAAAACCCTCTTGAGTAACCCTAACCTAGATCATTTAAACGTGTCAGGGGAATTCCATCTGCTTTCAGTGGGACTTACTTCTCAGCGGAAGTTCCTCTAAGCCTTAATTACTGTGAACCGCAGGCTGGGTTTTCCTTTATCCATTTTCAGGTAGGTAGCCGTGTTGGTCTGACACAGTAGATATATATATCTATATATATATTTATATATATATATATATATTTATATATATATATATAAATTGTCCAGTAGCACCTTAGCTAAATTTGTTCTTTGGTATGAGCTCATACCAAGAATTTTCCAGTAGCACCTTAGAGACAACTAAGTTTGTTCTTGGTATGAGCTCAGACCAAAGAACAAATTTAGCTAACGTGCTACTGGAAAATTCCTTTACCCATTTGTAAGATTGCTAGCAGCACTGGAGCACAAAGCTGAGCGTTTGGTTGCTTGCTGTGCGTAGCCGAGGTCCCTCCGCGCGATTGCAACGCGCACCCCCCAATTTTCAAACGGGGACGGGCTTTGCTTTCCTCCCTCTGGGGCTGCAAGGCGTCGACTAAGCGAGCGCATCCTCCTTGCAGCATTGTGCGGGGGCAGTTTCTGCTGGCTTGCGGGCATGAGGACGAGGCATCTTGCAACACAAATGGGTTTTTTCCCGGGGGGCGGTGTCGCAGCCACCAGCCAGCCCCGCCTCGACAGTTTCCCGCGTCGGGGTGGAGGGAGGCTGCCTCCCCCCTCCTACGTCACGTCATCCGAGCTGGGACAGCCCCAGCTAATCTGCTGGCAGGGTGGGTGTGGCCGCGGGCAATTTAATCTCAGTGCACCTTCTTCTTCCTTGCTTCTTCCTCGGATCAGGACCAGAGGGGACTGTGCAGTCGCTGTTGCATCCCTGCTGCTTTTGCTCCCTGCCGCTGCTGCACGAGGCTTTTTGCCTTTGTCCCTAGAGAGGCTTTTGCCTTTGGCTCCGAAGACTCGGAGGCTCCACCAACCGCGCGCTCATGCTTCTCAGCTGCTGGGCTGCAAACTGGGTTTTTTTGTTGTTGTTTTTTTGCTCAGCAGGCTTCTTGTACGGTTTGCCAGCAGCACGTTTTATTTCAACAGTAGGGTTAGACTCTTATGCACACACACCTTTTGCTTTTCCGTGGATTTTGTGAGAACGGAAGGCTGTGCTCATGTTTATTTGCATTTACCGAGTGGGTGCTTTTGAGAGCGATTGGGTTCGTTTGCTTGTTGTTTGAGCTTGCGGCACCGATTGTGTGTGGCCTGATTGATTGATTTGGAGCAAATGATTCAGCAAAGGAAACACAGCCCAGAATAACTAAGGAGATAGTACAAGAATACTTGGCTAGTTTAGATGTATTCAAGTCTCCAGGGCCAGATGAACTGCATCCAAGAGTATTAAAAGAACTGGCAGATGTGATCTCAGAACCACTGGCAGTCATCTTTGAGAATTCCTGGAGAACAGGTGAAGTCCCGGCAGACTGGAGGAGGGCAAATGTTGTCCCTATTTTCAAAAAGGGGAAAAGAGAGGACCCAAATAATTACCGCCCAGTCAGTCTGACATCAATACCAGGGAAGATTCTGGAGCAGATCATTAAGCAAACAGTCTGTGAGCACCTAGAAAGGAATGCTGTGATCACCAATAGTCAGCATGGATTTCTGAAAAATAAGTCATGTCAGACTAACCTGATCTCGTTTTTTGACAGAATTACAAGCCTGGTAGATGAAGGGAACGCAGTGGATGTAGCCTACCTTGATTTCAGCAAGGCATTTGACAAGGTGCCTCACGATATCCTTGTAAAGAAGCTGGTAAAATGTGGTCTTGACTATGCTACCACTCAGTGGATTTGTAACTGGCTGACTGACCGAACCCAAAGGGTGCTCATCAATGGTTCCTCTTCATCCTGGAGAAGAGTGACTAGTGGGGTGCCACAGGGTTCTGTCTTGGGCCCGGTCTTATTCAACATCTTTATCAACGACTTGGATGATGGACTCAAGGGCATCCTGATCAAATTTACAGATGACACCAAACTGGGAGGGGTGGCTAACACCCCAGAGGACAGGATCACACTTCAAAACGACCTTGACAGATTAGAGAACTGGGCCAAAACAAACAAGATGAATTTTAACAGGGAGAAATGTAAAGTATTGCACTTGGGCAAAAGAATGAGAGGCACAAATACAAGATGGGTGACACCTGGCTTGAGAGCAGTACATGTGAAAAGGATCTAGGAGTCTTGGTTGACCACAAACTTGACATGAGCCAACAGTGTGACGCGGCAGCTAAAAAGCCAATGCAATTCTGGGCTGCATCAATAGGAGTATAGCATCTAGATCAAGGGAAGTAATAGTGCCACTGTATTCTGCTCTGGTCAGACCTCACCTGGAGTACTGTGTCCAGTTCTGGGCACCACAGTTCAAGAAGGACATTGACAAACTGGAACGTGTCCAGAGGAGGGCAACCAAAATGGTCAAAGGCCTGGAAACGATGCCTTATGAGGAACGGCTAAGAGAGCTGGGCATGTTTAGCCTGGAGAAGAGGAGGTGATATGATAGCCATGTTCAAATATATAAAAGGATGTCACATAGAGGAGGGAGAAAGGTTGTTTTCTGCTGCTCCAGAGAAGCGGACACGGAGCAATGGATCCAAACTACAAGAAAGAAGATTCCACCTAAACATTAGGAAGAACTTCCTGACAGTAAGAGCTGTTCGACAGTGGAATTTGCTGCCAAGGAGTGTGGTGGAGTCTCCTTCTTTGGAGGTCTTTAAGCAGAGGCTTGACAACCATATGTCAGGAGTGCTCTGATGGTGTTTCCTGCTTGGCAGGGGGTTGGACTCGATGGCCCTTGTGGTCTCTTCCAACTCTATGATTCTATGATTCTATGATTTGCTTTGGTCTGGGCTCTGTCCCTTGCCTCTAGGGGCTTTCTGCTTACTTTGGGGTTGCTTTGGAAATCTACGGTAATCTCCTTCCTTTTTGGCTTGGAAGTTTGCATCCTGACAGTTGCCCTATTTTGTTTTGGGTTTGCTTGCCCAGTTCGGTTTCTGATCTTTAAGGGGCGTCGCCTTCATCGCCATTTTGATTAAGGGCAGCGTGGTCGGGGCAGTCGGTCATTTTGGGAGAGGCACGTGGCCCTGTCCCTTGTTTTGAGTAAACGGCGGGAAGCAGCTCTTTCACCAACTCCCAACTTGCTTGCTGGGATTCCTCTGTGCTTTTAGGCGCGGTTTTTTCTGTTTTTGCAAGCTTGCATCTCCCCCTTCCTCTTATTAATTCTCTAATATTCCTCTAATATTAATTCTGAGCTGCTTTGTTACACTTTTGTTTAGATTCATTCTGCGTTTTCACTCCTAATTTTCTGCCCAGTTTCCCTTGTCGCTCACTGTGCTGTGGAAGTCCTGGTTTATATCCCCTGCTCCATGTGCCTTTTTACTTTCTGCCCAACTGTAAAATAAAATTGATAAAAGTAATATAAACAAAATTGAAGTAGGTTAAAATAGAACTAGTAATAAGAAATAAGTAATAATAATAACTCTAGCTTTCATTTGAATACATTTTGTCATATTTGGATTCTGCAGTTGGTTTGGTGATTCTTGCTGATCGCCTACCTGCTCATTCTGTGCTTATAGTTGCTGGTTAGTGTGGTCAGTGCTAAGCCCAAGGCTGCTGGCTTTTTAGTGTCAACAATACTGCCTCTGACTGCCTCCTGGTGTTGCAGCCAGTGTCTAAGCAGTACTAGACAGTCCTTTTGAAGTCCCATCTGTTAAGCTTGCTGTAGGTAATACTGAGCTTGCTTGATTGTGCACAGGTGCCGCTGCCTGCCAGTGTGGCCACTATTGAGATTAGCTGGTTACACTGCACTGTGCACAGATGGTGCTGGCTGCCGGCCTGCTTATGCAATATCGACCTTAGTTGACTTCTTCTGGCCCGGGTAGTGCTTGCTGCTGGCCAGTGTAGACAGTGCCGAGCCTGTTTTACAATGCTGCTCAGTGCCCTGCTTGCGTTGCTGCCGGCCTGTGTGTCCTGTCATCTGTTAGTTATTTCAGCTCCTTATTGAATTGTCCCTGGGCCAAGTCACCATGCCCGTAAACTCCAAGCAGAAGGTGGCCGTTTCCCCTCCACGCACCAGGCGTGGGACTGTTAGGCTTCCTCCTGCCCAAGCCCCCACTAGTCAAGGGTCTGGTTTGTTACCTCGCCAAGTTTCTCTGACTGCAGTGGGAAATAGTGTTGATGAGACTTCTGGAGTCATACCCCCTACCCAGACTGACGTAGTGCCCGCATCAAGACCCAATCACGCCTTCATACGTTTCATCGAGGGGCTCGAAGGCTTGGTCCACAGTTTCAAAGCTCGGGCACTGAACCAATCACACGCCTTGTCCTCGACCCAGGGTCATGTGGTGGGATCTTCGTCGGCTTTTTCTGGCTTTTCACCTTACCAACCCCCTTCAACCCAGGCATCGCCTCCGGGTTTTTTGCCAACTTCTCCAGGCCACACCTATTCTCACCCGCCTCCAGTACAATTGACGCCAGAGCTTCCTAGCACGTCATCCGTTTTGTTTAACCAGTCCTCGACCACATCTGCTAGTGTATTTCAGGGTGCCCAAGTGGCCAGCCGTCCTGTGGCTGCAATAGCACAGCCTCAAGGTGCTGCTGCTGCAACAGTGCAGGGACCGAGTGGCTCAGGGGTTTCGGTTGCAGTAGCTGAAAAGCGGAAGAGGTGGCCTGGTCAGGATCAGAACGCTGGGCCTAAAGTCTCCGGCAAAGAAGTGCAAAGGAAGCGTAGTGGTAAAGGAAAGAAGAAAAGGCGCAAGGATGACTCCGATGATGATGATGAGTCAGGCACGTCAAGTTCAGATGATAGCGATTCCTCGCTTGGTTGTTATTGGGGTGAAGGAGAGGATTTGGGGGCCCTCCCAGACTGGTGCTTGGAGCGGAGAGCCAACTTCCACCGCAAACAGTTTGGGGAAACTCTAGAGTGGAAGGACGGGGCTTTGGTGGAACAGGTAAACACTACAGATGATGTTCCTGGCTATCATTTGAGCACAAAATTGCGGGCAAAAATTCTGAACGGGGAATATGTGGACATATTCAAATTAGTGCCGACATGGATTGCGATGCGTAGGGGAAAGTTGAAGTGCCGGAATGGGGCACCTCGGGCCGAGAGGTCCTTCGCCAATTGGCTTGAGGGTTTCTATGTTTTTATGGGAGTGGTATCCATGGCCTACCCTAAGCGGGCGTGGCATCTTGTCAACTACCTCAAAATTGTAAGGGAGGTGTATGCACTGGCAGGAGAAGATGCCGCAATTGCTTATGACACAGAATTTCGCCAGAACGCTTCCCACCTATCCAACACCAGGTGGGATCAGCTGGATCAGCCATTATGGTTTGAGATTGTGTATTCGGAAAATAACAACAAACCGCAGGAGGCAAGCAGGCATCCTAAGTTCGCCTCCAAGCATAATCCTCATCACAAAGTCTGCTGGGATTTCAATGATGGGACTTGCCAACGGGTGAACTGAAAATTTCCCCATAAATGCGAGAGGTGCCTTGGAACTCACCCCTGCATTTCTTGTAATTGGGGTTAAGCAGCACTTTTGGGGGGCTGGGGGTTTCATGCTCAGGGAGCCCCCAGCACAGCACCAAATTGGGGCATGCAAGGCATACATGAACAATAGTTGCTTCTCGCTTGCAAGCCTCCCCATTAAACTCAATTCACTCAAACGATTACTTGATGAATACTCAAATCCCGAGTCGGCTTAATACATTTGGGACGGTTTCTTTTCTTGTAAATAATTTTTATTAATTTTCAATTAAAGGCATTCCAATTAATAATAAAATTGAATCTTGCCACATTAAAACACACACAATAAAACCAATATTACAATCTGAATTAAATAATTTCAAGGGGGCTTCCCATGTTCTGGATGTCAGGAACAATGTTCCTGCGTTCATTTCTTTTGTTCTTCCCCAGCTTCATAAATCCAATCTTAACCATTATTTTATGCAGTCCTGGTGTGGAACTCTCGTGTCCATTAAATCCATTTCTATTCTAACACAGGCAATTTCTTCTGTTGCTGTTGTTCATTATATATATATATATATATATATATATATATATATATATATGATTTGCATAGTCCTCTCCGTGACCCCATCTTTGATTTTCCGCTTTATCTTCCAGGCTCCGGGCTCTGTTCCCACTTTTCTCAACAAGTGCCAACCCTCCTTCTTTTGATAAGATTTATGGCACAGCAGTCTTTAGGTCTTTCAGACTTCTAATAAGTTAGTATTCCAAATATAAATGAACTTCCATAGAAAAGCAATGCCGTGGGATATATTTCACCAATTGTTTGGTGAATGTTTAGCTTAGCTCATCTAAGGATGCATGCCCGATTCCCCGGGCCCTAGGGAAGCGAGCCAAATCAAAATTTCACATTTGCATTCACATTACACCATATATTGAAAAGGGAAAGGAAATCCATGCAACCAAATGCAGTTTTTTAAATGTGAAATATTCCCTGCTTGTGTCCAAATGTCGGGGGGGGGGGGGAGGCTGTTTCTTTTTCTTCTATGCCATAGCCGCCATTTTTTTTCATCCCAAGCCTCTTCATATCTGATCTTGGTTTGCCAGTTCTAATTGGGGCTCTCCGCCGAGAGCCACGCAACTTAAATATTGAATTCCTTTCTTGCAAGGTTCGGAAAGTCGTGATTAGCAAATGTAGAAAAAGATATAGGTGCTCACCTCATGATGAAGCACCACGATGAAAGTCCTTTTCAAATCAAAGCTCTGGCATCCAGTGACTGATTTAATTGGCATGGGGTTTTTTTATCTCCTCCTTTCCAGAACACGCCTGTTTCTTAGTCCAAATTTTAATGATTTTAGGAAACGGGGCTCTCCCCCACTCATGGCGATGACTCTGGAGAGTTGCCAATTCATGCAGTGCAGCCTCATCCAGCATCCCTTCTGTAGTGAGCGGCAGTTATCGGATGAACTGCGGGTGATGGCCAGTCCCCCTACCCTGGGGGGATCAGCAGGGATAATTACCCCTGAAAATCTGCATGGTTGGGGTCTGGTGTTCTGGGAAAGCAGCCAGCAGCCATGGCAGGAAATCAGCCATTTGGGTCGGTTTCAATCGGGGCTTCCGAATTCCTGTTTCTTTTTCCCTTAGCTCCAAGGATCCACCAAATTAAAAACTGGTGTGGTATTTTTATCATGCACAATTTAACATTTAACTCCATTTTCTTCAGATGGTGCAGGGGCTCTCAGATGCAGCTTCCGGGCTGCCTCCACTTTCCCCGAAGGTAGCCAGGCTGAATAGTTGCTGGGGTCAGGGAAGGTGGAGGCAGCCCGGAAGTGGCACCACCTGAAGGCAGCCAGGAATCTCTCAGCTGGGAAGAGGGGAGGCTTAGCTCCCCAGCTGAGCATTCAAAATTAAAACTAAAATTTCCAGAAAGCCAGCAAACTTGCAACTTGTGAAAAAGCAGCAACACAACAAATTGAAAAAGCAAACCAACCGCAAATGAATCAAAATCACAAGAAAACATAAAACACTGACCCCAACCCAAACCTGATTCTAATTCTTACCCTAACACTAACCCAGTCCTAAAATTAACCCTAACCCAGAAATGGTCTGGTTAGATAGTTTTCCGACTGAGCCAGTACATAGGTACATTTATCAGTGAATTGCTAAATATGATAATGTGCAGCAGAGGCTCTTTGTCTTTGCCACGTGGTTTGACTGAATTTCCGTCTGTTGCGCAGCTGGCACATGGAGTGTGTTTGCACTATAAACTTTCAATTCCTAAACCATTTGTGTTTAGGCAAGTCTAACCCACCCTGCAGAATCTCATTTTTTCCTTCCTTTCTGTAGATGCTATTTATTCTGGAATGCTTCCAAATGCTAATTGTGTGCATGTTTGTGTGGAAAACCCACTACTATAAAGCTATGAGCAGAGCAATTCTAGCCACGCCTACTCAGCTCTTACTCCCAGGGAAGTAAGGGTAGTGACGGTTGGTGTATTTCTCAAGATAACAGCAACGGTTTTCCTTCGACAGCAGCTGCGCCTCAGCGCCTGTACATTTTCGAGAGGTAAGGATTTCTGCCTAGTCCCGGAGATAAGAATCTTTAGAACCCAATATGAACAGATTCTAGACTGGAAGCAGGTCTGGTGGGTGGGAGATGTTGAAATCATAGAATTGTAGAGGTGGAAGGGACCCCGAGGGTCCTCTAGTCCAGCCCCTGCAATGCAGGAATCTCATTTAAATCATCCAGGACAGATGGCCATCCAACCTCTGTTTAAATGAAGAAGAGGTAAGGTGACTGAGGAGGCGGGAATTGGGAAGCCGCATAAGTGCTTGCTTCTGGAGCGTGGATCTTGGTTGTCTGTGGGGGGTGTGTGGAATAAAGGAGTTCTGGAAAGGTGAGAAAATGCTGTGCTGAATTTAGGCAGGGGGGGTTCCTCTCACTTGGGCAGGGGGCTTTTGTGTAGCCTCTGTCTGTCAGGGACTGGACAGAGGAGGAATGGGGGAGACCGTCTCCCTTGCCTGACCCTTCCAGATAAGAAGAAGACAGCTTAGATTTACAACAGGGGTTTGAGGGAGGTCACAGCTTAATGGCAAAGGAGGAGGGAAAATGCTGTGCTGAATTTAGGCAGGGGGGGCTCCCCTCACTTGGGGAGGAGGCTTTTGCCTAGCTTCTATCATACAATTGTTTTTACTTTATTAGGGGGCCGGATGGAGGGGGGGAGGGGAGACAACTGTACATGTGTGTGTATAGAGGTCGCCCCAGCACATGGCAAGAATCTGTGACTGGCATTGCTATGTTAACTCCTCGGGAGAACCCAGAACTGTTAGGGACTGAATAGTCTGTGAATAATTCTGTGGAAGTATTTAGGTGTCTTTCGGCAAATTCACAGAAGTTCATTAAATTATGTTACACTTCTCTGCTGAACTAGGATGGTTGCGTTATCAATAATGTTGTGTGTGTGAATGGGCACGGTTAATGTAATTCTCACTGCTTGCGCTTCACAACATTTCATTTCTTCCTGACCATGCTGCTTACAGTCTTCCTCTCCTCTCTTGTGTGCTTGCGCATGAAAGCAACTTGGTATAACGGCTTCATGCATCCGATGAAGGGCACTGTATTCCATCAAAGGTTACAGCAACATACAGTGGTACCTCATGTTACATATGCTTCAGGTTACAGACTCCGCTAATCCAGAAATAGTACCTTGGGTTAAGAACTTTACTTCAGGAAGAGAACATAAATTGCGTGGTGGTGGCATGGCAGCAGCAGGAGGCCCCGTTAGCTAAAGTGATACCTCAGGTTAAGAATGGTTTCAGGTTAAGAATGGACCTCCGGAACGAATTAAATACTTAACCCGAGGTACCACTGTACACTGTTAGTCACTCAGTCTAAGCAGATGGTTTTCTCGCTTCCCCTTTCCAGTTCTGCAAAGAAGCAGCAAGTGAGACTTGAAACTGGAAGAAAAATGGGGCCAGGGGCTTTTGGGAAGTGATCTGTATCTGAGGGTGTGAAAACCTGGCTGTGGATGTCACTGTGTTTTCCAAGGCTTCCTTTAGCAGGAATATCTGCCCCTAATGCTCATCACTCCCTCCCAGAACATTTCTATTAACCCCCACCTCTAACCCGTGAAGCCTTTCTCAATTTAAGCCCTTAGTTTTAATCTCTTCCTGGGTTTAGTAACTTGACTTTTGTATAGTCTTACCATCTTCTTTGGACTCAGCTGCAACCAGTCAAAAAACAGTGCTATGCATGCTTCAGAAGCCTGCAAAACCAGGTGGTGCTGGAGACCAAAAAAAACCCCACAAAAAATTCTAAGTGGTTTTTACATAGTTTTTTCCCTTTTGTTATAACAATTTAATTTCTGACTTTTTAAAAGCGTTTTTTCGTGTGTGTATACCCTTTTTCTCCTTCCCTTTATTAACAATTGCTGCACTGTTGAAATTTAGATTCTAAACTTCTAGGGGCAGTTATCTGCCTATTTGCATCACTTGTTACTCTAGTCCTGGTGGTTCTTAGTTGTTCAGTTTAGTTTTGGGTTACTCATGACATTTTAAAGCGGAGACATTTATTTAACTAATTTTACTTCATCACTCTGAGGACTTCTGTTGTGCTGAGTGTTTTCTGATGTCTCCCGTTTCTTTTGGTGGTGTTAACTGCTGTGGAGGTAAAATGTGGTACTGTATCTGAATGGAAAAAAAGGAATGGAGAATTATAGTGGTGCCCTGCAAGACGAAATTAATTCGTTCCGCGAGTTTTGTCGTCTTGCGATTTTTTTCGTCTTGCGAAGCACGGTGTCGGGAAAGTTTTGGAAAAGCTTCAAAAATCACCAAAGCCTTTAAAAACCTCAAAAAAGGCTACCACACCGCGTTCTATGAGTTGCTCCTCGAAGTCAAGTCGCAACTGTATTAACGGTGTTAGAAAAAGGAAACAAACTTGCAAGACGTTTCCGTCTTGCGAAGCAAGCCCACAGGGAAAATCGTCTTGCGAAGCAGCTCAAAAAACAAAAAACCCTTTCGTCTAGCGAGTTTTTTGTCTTGCGAGGCATTCGTCTTGCGAGGTACCACTGTATTAACTAAATTATCTCTCCATTATGAGATAGTTCTCTCTCTCTCTCATTGGCACCTAGCCTTAAACAAGCAAGGCATTCAACACTTGCCACCAGGCTGTACCTCAGTGGAAAGTGTTTGGAGGGCAGGAGAGGGGAATAAGATAATCCCTTGGCAGTGCTTGTACAGCACATTGGGCCCATGGAAATCACTGCAAGTGAAGGGAAGGGGGAGAGATTGCTTGGGTAGAGCATTTAATGCTAAATAGAAAATGCGGGGGGGGGGGGAGAGAAAAGAATGGAAAGAGAAGGAATTCCTAGGACAAGGGAGAGGAAGCTATGGACTCTGGAGGGGACCAGCAGGGAGTGGTAATAAGTATACTACTTTCTCAAGTTTTGTGTTATGATATGCCCCCATGGCAGCCATTTTGTGACACCTACCAACAGCACCTTATAAATTCCACATATGCCCACGCTCTAAAGAAGTTGGCAACCTGCATCCCTGCCATTAATACATACACTCGACACACCGTATCAGTGGAAAATTGAGGCTGGTGGGAGCTCAGGTGGGTACAGCAGCCCGCCGCACCATCCACTCAGGGGATTGTTTATTTAAAATAATTTACATACTGCTTTTCATTTGACGCCCATGGTTGTTTTTTATTTTTTTTAAAAACCAGAAATAAAATAATAATGTCAGGACTGGTCGTTGTCTTCTTCAGATCACCACACAAACGCTTCTTGTTCTTTTATAACTTTTTATTGTGTATTAACAAAATAATCTTATAAACAGTTCTTAACTATTATTCCTCAGAGTCACTTATTTCAGATACCTTCTGAGCTCTGCTTCTCCGTGACCAGCCACCCTCAAAATGGCGAAGGCGCCTTTCCCTTCGTTTTCCTGCTCTTTTTTCCAACCTCCTGGCTAGAGCTGGCCGGTATCTCCCCTCCTCCGAATCTGAGCTAGAACTTAACCCTTGCCTTTTCTGGGAACAGCCGGTCCCTCCCTGTTGTTCCTCTTGCTCCCTTCTATTAGATTCACTGCTCTCCCTCCCCCCTTGGGGAATGCTTTCTCCCTCTGATAAACTGGAAACTTCTAACTCTTCCCTGACAAATAACTATCCCAATAAAGTATAACCGTAAAACATCACATGCCTAAGGCCATTAAAAGCTGGCGTCAGTGGTCAGGATATGCACATATCAGCAGATACGTTTTTAGTAAATGAGATTATTTCAAAAGAGTAGGTGCCAGCAGTTTCCTTGTCACAAGATAAGAGCTTTGGAGGTTGCAGCAGGGCTAAAGGCGTCCAAGATCTTAGTTACAGTTCTGTAATTTATTTTATTTATATAAACATTTATATGCCATCCTCATACAACATCAGAGCAGTGTGCAGCAGCATACAAACTTTTTATATAGTTTTTTTAAAAACAACAACAATTAAAAGCAGTTCAATCAATCACTAAAATGACTGGCTACTCAATAAACTTTTATACAACTGCATAGGCTTGTTGGCATAAAAATATCTTCAAGAGACACCTGAAAATCAAAAGTGAGGATCTCTGCCAAATCTTTCCTGTTCCACAAAATGCCCAACTTTTGCTTGAGACTGGTGAAGCCTCTGTAATACACGGAACAGCTAACAGGGCTTTTCTGGATGATCTCAGTGACACAAGGGTTCAGGTGGTCAGGGCTTTGTGCATCATCACAAGGGCAGCCCCTTGTTATCACATGCTGCCCTTGTGATGTTATCAGTGTTATCCCATGCTGTCAGTCATCTTCCTCCTGATCAGCAGTCTCGCTTCTGCATTCTCTCCCAGCTGAAGCTTCTGGAGCAAGCCCAAGGGCAGCCCTGCATGAAGCACATTGCAGTAATCCAGTCTCAAGGTTCCCAGGGCATGGACTATACTGGCCATGTTATCCCTATCCTTGTATAGCCAGGGCCGGATTAAAACCTTTAAAGGCCCTAAGCACTTAAAAGACTTTGGTGCCCCAAAATATAAACAACAATAGACCATTAAATAAAATCTTTAAAAAAAAAAAAAGAAAGAAACAAAACCTACAGTAAGATGGAAAATAATGCTTCCATCTATAAAGGTAAAGGGACCCCTGACCATTAGGTCCAGTCGTGACCGACTCTGGGGTTGCGGTGCTCATCTCGCTTTATTGGCTGATGGAGCCGACGTACAGCTTTGGGTCATGTGGCCAGCATGACTAAGCCGCTTCTGGAGAACAAGAGCAGCGCACGGAAACGCCGTTTACCTTCCCGCCGGAGCGGTACCTATTTATCTACTTGCACTTTGACGTGCTTTCGAACTGCTAGGTTGGCAGGAGCAGGGACCGAGCAACGGGAGCTCACCCCGTAGCGGGGATTCGAACCGCCAACCTTCTGATCTGCAAGTCCTAGGCTCTGTGGTTTAACCCACAGCGCCACCCACGTCCCTGCTTCCATCTATACTTCCACTTTATTTTTATTCGGGGGGAAGGGATTCATACTTTTTCTAATTGCAAGGTCTTTGACCAGATCCTTGAAATTAATCTTACATAACATATGCTTAGTAGAGATAAGGCATGCAACCTGCCTTATTGCATAGTTCTATATATTAGTTGCAATGCCAATGTCTTTGTTGGTATTGCAACTAGAAAAAGTAGGAGATTTTTTCCCCTTCTGAATAGAACAGCATGGGAAGGCCTCTCAGTAGGGCTGGCTGATACCTGGGTTTCAACATTGTGATATATCACCTGATAAACATTGCAATATCCTGATATATCATGATGTTTTGAATCAAGAGGGAATAAGCCGCCTGACGTATCCGCTTCTGTTAAGTTGTGGGTGAACATATCAGACGACACAGCGATTCTTCAAACAGCTCTTGTTTATTCAGAGGACAGAACAGAACTGAACTGGAAGGGTTCTGCCAGCTTGCTTATATAGAGCTCCAGTACAATGTAACTGTATCAACTTTCTGTAACTATCCAATCACTGAACGTCACATTTGATCCCTTATTTGCATATGTGGACCTGAACTATCTACAGTATCCCCCTGCTGGCCCAGGTGAGAACTTCAGTACATAACATCTTCTGAAGCACCCGACAGTCAAACCTGCAAGCCGTGATCAAACCACTGCAGGAGTGATTCATTGCATCATTTGCAGTCTCCCCTTCTCCAGGTGCACTGCCCATTCTCTGCCTGTTTAATTGTTAGCAAAGCCTTCTAACCCAGATCAAGCACAAAGATGAAGAGAGAGAGAGAGGTGAACTCAGTTTTTCAAATCAAATTCAGTTCAGGTGAAGCTTCTCTGCTCCTTACGAACAAGCCTTCCAAACTGTACCTCTGCCCAACTGTCATAGTCTGGAATTACATCGCCCACAAGCAAACAACCACAGATTTTTGGCTATTGAGTGGCTCCTTGAGCAACTACATTCTTTCTGCGGCGCCACTGCGAGGCTCAGCAGCCCAGTTATGTCAGTTATGTCACCCCTTGCCTGCAGAGCCTGCAGCCTCTCACCCTTTTTCGATCACCCTCCCTTGTGGAGGGCTCTCTTAGCCCCCTCTCCTTGGGAGTCCTCTGGGCAGCCACTGCTGCTGTCCATGGTCCCTGAGCTGCCTCGGCTCCTGGCACCAGCCCCCCTGGCCAGCCCCAGAGGCATCGTTGACCTGGGGAGCTTGCAGCCAGGGCTGCTGCAACAAAGCCACTTCCGGCTTGCCCAGGAGGTGGGGTTGCGGGCTTCACGCCCACCCCACGTGAGCGGGGGCTGGTTTCAGCCCCCGCGAGAACAGGGGAATCCCGGCCGGGTGTGTCCCCCCAGCCAGCCGATCGGCTGGCTGGGGGGGCGTGGCCTGAGCTATTTAGGGCCGGCACGGAGGGGGCTCGCCCTCTCTTTGCCGGCTAGCCCTCACGTTTTTCCCACCCTCCCTCCCTCTAGGTAGGTTTTTAGGCAGGTTTCTGACTTTGCTATGGACTTCGGTCTGTCGCCGCAAGGGGCATGGTAGGAATTTTTCCCAATTGGCAATTTACAGCCTTTTGGTTTTTCGCCTACCTCGTGGCAACTCGTCACAACTCTTCGGCATTGGCGGTAGGCATTGGTAAGAAGGGGTTAAGAGGATGTGGGGGGGGGAGGAGCGCCATCACCTCCCCCCAGTGAACGAAGGGTGGTCCGTTAAAGGACTCCGGGGGCGTGGCCCTGTCCGAAGCCTATGGAGGTGAGGGCCAAAGGCACGCCCCAGAGCGGTGACCCGGGGAGCTCCTAGTCGACGTGCCTCGGCAGGAGACTCCCCGATATAGTGTTAACCCTTCCCCGTGTCTCCAGCAATTGGGCTGTGGCTGGGGGGGCACACCCGGCCGGGATTCCCCTGTTCTCGCGGGGGCTGAAACCAGCCCCCGCTCACGTGGGGTGGGCGTGAAGCCCGCAACCCCACCTCCTGGGCAAGCCGGAAGTGGCTTTGCGTGGCGAGTTCCCGCCCCCCACCAGGATAAATAAAGACACCAGACACCATAATTAAGGTTAATTGGGCGAATTAGGCCACAACTTTATTGAGTTCAGGAATGAGAGGCATTGGCTTAGGCATTGGTCCTATCGACTATCCGGCTCCAGCCCAATTGCTGGAGACACGGGGAAGGGTTAACACTATATCGGGGAGTCTCCTGCCGAGGCACGTCGACTAGGAGCTCCCCGGGTCACCGCTCTGGGGCGTGCCTTTGGCCCTCACCTCCATAGGCTTCGGACAGGGCCACGCCCCGGAGTCCTTTAACGGACCACCCTTCGTTCACTGGGGGGAGGTGATGGCGCTCCTCCCCCCACATCCTCTTAACCCCTTCTTACCAATGCCTACCGCCACACGAGCAACCGCTCGCCGCCAATACTCTCATACCTGAAACCAATCCCTTATCCCCTTCACTATGTCGCACAGCCAAACATCATTTCCAGCATCGGAAAGATGCACGCCATCAAACCGGTAGAGGGCCTCACAGTTGAAACGAATGCCCGGGTGTTCGATGACCTTTCCACCCAGGGCTGCCACTCTACGCACCACCGCCCGATCCAAGGCTTTCCTCGCCTTATTCATGGCTATCGGGCACCTGCAATCCCTCCAAACACGCCTCTCCATCAAAGAGGCCCAAATGATTGTCATGTCCGGGTAAGAGGCCTTAAGCTCCTCAAAGTCACTGAAAATGTGCCACTGCAAGTCAACTGCCTTCCTGTAGGCAAGGTCATTTTCTCCCAATTGTATCAACAAAGCATCCGGGGGGCCCTCCGCTGCTGCTCTGGTCTTAAATGCGGGCAACATCTCCGCCCAGCGCATTCCCCTTCGCGCAACCCAGGATAAAGTGATGCCAGACGGTAAGCCGAGGCGCGGCCCGAGACCGGAGTTGATGGCGCGGACCCTGGCCCAATGCACAATGCTGTGCCCGAATATCCAGACGCGGACCCCCATAACACCTGCAAAAGATTAAAAGAACAGGCCATGGTCAATTGACCCCAGTTGAACCATCATAGATTTCCTCTAACATAACGTTTGTAAGCGTCCGATTTCCAGCGGCCCAAGTCCTTAACCCTCTCCGTAGTAAGGCCCAGGTGCACTGCTGTGGTGGCCGCACCTATTCTAAACGAGTGCGCCGCGAAATCCGCAGGGGGAAGGCCACATGCAGCCAGCGTTGAGCGCATAACCCGTGTGAACTGTTGACGCGTCAGAGGTAAGCCGTCTGCATGGATAAAGAAAGGCCCTGCCGAATTGGTCCTCAGATCTAGGAAGCGCCTGGTGTCCTTAATGGGGCACGGGCCTGGTTGTCCGGTTGCCAGAAGCCGAACCAGGGCCCCCCTCCCGTACTGGTCTGTTTTGGAGCTGCGTATTCGTAACACCAGATCCTCCCTAGAGAGCGTAAGGTCGCTCAGTAGTAACCCCCGGGAAGAGCCGCGCTGACCCTCTTCATAAACCACCTCACCCACACGCATCGCACCAAAGAAGGCGATGGAGTATGCCGCTGAAAATAAGCGCGCCTCATACTTGGACCAACAGACCGTTCTCAGCTTTTTGTGAATTTGGGAAAGGATGTCGAATGATATTGGCCTCCTTACGTCATGGCTTGGGGGGCTGCAGCCTGCGCCAGCCCTCCAGGGTCCTTCGTATGACGAAATCAGCGCATGGATCAGAGGAAAATAACACCTTGCAAAAGAATGATATTGCCGCTGCCTGAAGGTTGATAGTTCTAGGGGCGCGACCCAAACGTTTTAAGTATACCAAGTAAGATAAGACCTCGGACTTAACGGGGGGGGCGTTATTCCTATCGGTGCGGGTTTTATTACAGAAATTAAGGAAATCTGACCACGCCTTCTTATACGATCTTAAAGTGGACGGAGCCAATGAGGCCAATACTCCCTGAATCACTTCTGGTTCCCATGACTCTGGTCCCCAAGTCTCCACAGATGTTCCGGGAACGGCTGAGGAAGCGGCTGAGCCTCCGGTGCTAACGAGCGGAAGCGGTCCATCTGAAAACGAGATAGGGCATCCGCGATGTCATTGTTAACTCCAGGCACAAATTTGGCGGAGAAGTGGATATTAAGTTCCAGACACCTGAGAACGAAGGAGCGCAGGAGGGCACCTACCCTTGATGATCGCGCGGCCTGCCTGGAAAGGACTCCCACCACTGCTTGGTTGTCAGTGTGGAAGCAAACTCTATGGTTGCTGAAGACTTCAGACCACAAGTGCACTGCCACAACAATTGGAAAGAATTCTAGGAAGGTCAAATCTCTGGTTATGGGGGTCCCTTGCCACGCTGGTGGCCAACGTTGGGCACACCATTGGCCTCTGAAGTAAACGCCAAACCCTAAGGAGCCTGAAGCATCTGAATGAACCTGGAAGTCCACTTGCAACAGCAAGTTCTCTTGCCACAAGGAAATACCGTTGTAGTTCTCCAGAAACTTCAACCAAACTTCCAAGTCAGATTTTACCTCCTTAGATAAGCGAACCCTATGATGGGGGGATCGCAGGCCGGCTGCCAGCCTCGCGAGGCGGCCACAGAATGGACGGCCAGGGGAAACCACGCGGCAGGCAAAGTTTAAGTGGCCTAGCAGTGACTGTATCTGCCTTAGTGTTACCTTTTTCAGGGGGAGGAGCTGCTGAATGAGGTCGCCAAGCGCAATCAGCTTCTCTCTGGGAAGTTTTGAGGTCTGCGCGACTGTGTCCAATTCGATACCCAAGTAGACCATGGTTGTAGCTGGACCCTCTGTTTTGTCAGCAGCCAAGGGAACTCCCAGCTCCCCTGCTAACGATGTAAAGGCTTCAAGGAGCTCTGAGCACTTACGCCTACTATTGGCCACGAGGATAAAGTCATCCAGGTAGTGCGACACGCCCTCGGACCCAGTTCTAAAGCGAAGCGCCCAGTCCAGGAAGGTGCTGAATGCCTCAAAGGCTGCACAGGCGACTGAGCAGCCCATGGGCATTGCTTTGTCCACAAAATAATCCCCTTCGAATTTGAAACCCAGCCACCGGAAGTCTTCCGGATGAACTGGCAAGAGTCTAAAGGCCGATTCAATGTCGCATTTTGCCAAAAGCGCGCCCTTGCCGAATTTGCGAATGAGCTTGACCGCTTGGTCAAAAGTAGCATATTTCACCGTACAGAGCTCCTGAGGTATCGCGTCATTGACGGACCCTCCCTTTGGGTAGGAAAGGTTGTGAATCATGCGAAATTCACCAGGTGCTTTCTTAGGGACTATACCTAACGGGGATATGTGAAGGCCTTCGATTGGGGGAGTTAAGAAGGGGCCAGCTACCCTACCTGCGTTGATTTCTTTACTAATCTTCTTACGGGCCACCTCGGGCATCTCCCTCACCGATTTTTGATTTGGAGGATCACTCGAATTGGGGGTAAACGCTATTTCCCGGTAAGAATATCTGCTCCTCTATTGAGTAGGGCTGGCTGATACCTGGGTTTCAACATTGTGATATATCACCTGATAAACATTGCAATATCCTGATATATCATGATGTTTTGAATCAAGAGGGAATAAGCCGCCTGACGTATCCGCTTCTGTTAAGTTGTGGGTGAACATATCAGACGACACAGCGATTCTTCAAACAGCTCTTGTTTATTCAGAGGACAGAACAGAACTGAACTGAAGGGTTCTGCCAGCTTGCTTATATAGAGCTCCAGTACAATGTAACTGTATCAACTTTCTGTAACTATCCAATCACTGAACGTCACATTTGATCCCTTATTTGCATATGTGGACCTGAACTATCTACAGTATCCCCCTGCTGGCCCAGGTGAGAACTTCAGTACATAACATCTTCTGAAGCACCCGACAGTCAAACCTGCAAGCCGTGATCAAACCACTGCAGGAGTGATTCATTGCATCATTTGCAGTCTCCCCTTCTCCAGGTGCACTGCCCATTCTCTGCCTGTTTAATTGTTAGCAAAGCCTTCTAACCCAGATCAAGCACAAAGATGAAGAGAGAGAGAGAGGTGAACTCAGTTTTTTTCAAATCAAATTCAGTTCAGGTGAAGCTTCTCTGCTCCTTACGAACAAGCCTTCCAAACTGTACCTCTGCCCAACTGTCATAGTCTGGAATTACATCGCCCACAAGCAAACAACCACAGATTTTTTGGCTATTGAGTGGCTCCCTTGAGCAACTACATTCTTTCTGCGGCGCCACTGCGAGGCTCAGCAGCCCAGTTATGTCAGTTATGTCACCCCTTGCCTGCAGAGCCTGCAGCCTCTCACCCTTTTTCGATCACCCTCCCTTGTGGAGGGCTCTCTTAGCCCCCTCTCCTTGGGAGTCCTCTGGGCAGCCACTGCTGCTGTCCATGGTCCCTGAGCTGCCTCGGCTCCTGGCACCAGCCCCCCTGGCCAGCCCCAGAGGCATCGTTGACCTGGGGAGCTTGCAGCCAGGGCTGCTGCAACAAAGAGCTGTGCAAGCCTTTAGGAGGCAGAGACGAGAGAGAGCGCATCAGAGGAGGGAGGGAAGGAAAGAGGGACAGAGGTCAGTGTTGAAAAACCACAGCCGGACAGCGTCATATTAGAATGCTTTAAAAAGCAGAAAAACAGATGTTAAAGGCCATTTCTGTTCTGGGTTTTCCCATCAGCCCAGCTAATTACTGGGCTGCATGGATTACTGCATGGATCCTGAAGGCTGCTTTGTCCTCAGCAGAAGCTCAGCGAAGGAACTTAACTGGGTGTGGTTGCTACCTGCTGCCGGAAGTATCCTGGTAAGGCTTGTATCCCTCTCTTGGTGTGGCTACAATTGGCAGAGTAGCATTTTTCTTGCTGGTTATTGTTGGTCAGGGACAGGAAATCGGGTCAAGAGTGTTGCAGTTTACAATGCTAGGAAATAGCCTGAGGTGAACTTTATTGCCAGCTAAATTGCTATTGCAAAATAACCTTTTTAGCCCTTTTGACAAGGAGGGAGCTGCCGCTCCATGGGTGGAGCATGGGTGGGGCAGCTGCCCCCAATCAATAAAAATACATAGCAAACTGAGGTTCTGCCCCCCCCCCAATTCCTGGCTACGCCCGTGCCGCTCCCCTTTTTGCAAATGCTGCTCCTCAAGTCAAGATGGATTTCTGCTTTTGATCTTTTTCTTTTCAATATCGGTTTCTGCTCCCTAGTGTTTGTTTCTATTTTTAGCTTTTCTAGCTCTGGGAATTTTCCTTGAAAGGCAAAAATGGGCCTCCCGGTTACGCATGCAAGGACACCACATAGCAGGAAACATATTTGCTTATTGATTAAATTGGTTAGTCACTTTATCTTGCCCAAGGCAACAAAAAAATGACTTAACATTATTGCAGAGGTGTTAAGGAGCTGGAAATTTAGAAGCCATTGAGCAAAACTCTATTTTTTACTGTTTTTTTTCTTGGGGAGTGGATGGGTGGAATTGGAATGTTTTTGGGGAAATGAAGAGGTATGTAAAGGTGAACATAACTCTAAACCTGATAATTTTTTACTTAACCTTTAACATATTGTTGCAACTGTTACGTTATAGTAGTACTCTACCAAAAGTAACACATTTTCTCTAAAATTAAAGCTGTAGAAGTAAGTAGTAGCATTGATATCAAAGGTTCCCTAAAAAAATAATTACACTACTTAACAAGGGGAAAAAAGCAAATTCAGTGTCACAAATATTCAAATTATATTTGAATGGATATTCAAATATAATTTACTATTGAGTCTTAGTACAACACCAGTTATTTGATTGTTGGTTAATTTCCTTTTCTAAACCAGGCCAAAGAAGAAAGAATGTAATGGATAAATTTTATCAGAACAAAATATAAGCAAATTTTATATTTTTATTGGCAGGAAAATTTACATTTATTTTATAACCCAGGCCAAACCAATAAGGATGGGTAGAATTTTACAGAACAAAAAATGATTAAATGAAGTTTATATTTTTTGCAAGGAAAATTTGTATGTTGGCGTTCTCTGGCAATAGAGATGCCCTTTGTATTTGAAGAACATTGCCAGCCATGCTGAACATACGTTCAAATGACACACTTGTTCCTGGGATTTTTTAATACCGCATACACAATATGCGTTAAATTGCAAAGTCATTTAAAAAAAAACAAACTGTTACCACGATTTGCTCTGAAACCTGGTATCAGAATATATATAGATTTATAGCACAGCCCTAGTCTCTGGTATTGATGTTTCCGATGAGAGACCATCAGGGTGATGTCATCAGCAAACGTTAAGTGACATAAGAATCAGGGAACTCTGACTCATTTCCTGGCTTTTTATGGCAGAACAATTCTTTAATTGTTGGCTTTAATGGCGCTAAAATCTGGTACCCAGTCCCCAGGCAATATGCTATTGAAAAATTTATAAAGATGGGGGGGTGTTTCAGAAAACTTTATAAACAATTTCTGTGAGCAAAAAGCTGGGAAGCGAGAGACAGAGCAGTGTTTTGTGTCTGTTTGAATCCAAGGATGGGAAAACAAAACCCTTTGAGGTGTTAATGCTGGGAACCCATCCACTTTTGGCTCTGGCTGTAAAGGTAAAGGGCCCTCTGACTGTTAGGTCCAGTCATGGCCGACTCTGGGGTTGCGGTGCTCATCTCGCTTTACTGGCCGAGGGAGCTGGCGTACAGCTTCCGGGTCATGTGGCCAGCATGACTAAGCCACTTCTGGTGAACCAGAGCAGCGCACGGAAACGGCGTTTACGTTCCCGCCGGAGAGGTACCTATTTATCTACTTGCACTTTGATGTGCTTTCGAACTGCTAGGTTGGCAGGAGCAGGGACCGAGCAACGGGAGCTCACCCTGTCGCAGGGATTTGAACCGCCGACCTTCTGATCAGCAAGTCCTAGGCTCTGTGGTTTAACCCACAGCGCCACCCGCGTCCCGCCCTGGCTGTATCTATGTGTAAATAAACCGTATATCATAAAAGGCACCACAATCTCCGCTGTGCCTCATTTCCAAAAGGAAACATGGACCTTGGATGAGGGTCTGGAAGCCCTGGAAGCAATTGGAGTAGCTTCGTCCAACAGTATGTTTTATTTTTTCTAACCTGAAGGTGCCATCAGAGGGGAATTAATCTCTTCTGCCTGGGCACTTGGTGCTGGACAGCAATGAGAGAGGAGTAATGATAAGCCATGATGATGATGCTGTAGAGAGACACAGCCTGAGAGCGCCTGAAGAGACAGAAGCTGCCCAAAGAGGCAAAAAACCCCTGGACTGGCGAACACATTTTTCCAAAATAAGAAGGACAGGTAAGTTGAAAAAGCTGCAGAGCCTCCTCGACAGCTGGTTGTGGTGTGTATAGATGCGAGCGTGTAGCCTGCAAGGCAGCTATATTTTCCCCTGGGAATTAGGGCAGGGATGGGGAGCTTCTTGCCCTCCAGATGTTGCTGGACTAAAAGCCCCACTATTCCTGCCCCTGTTGGTTATGCAGTCTGGGGCTGATGGGAGTTGAGGGCCACCAGTTCTCCATGCCTAGTTTAGAAACCTGTTGGCGTTTGGCTTACAGTGTGTGTGTGTGTGTGTGTGTGTGTGTGTGTGTGTGTGTCTGCCTTTCTCCCCTTCCAGTTCCCAAATACATTTTTCTTCAAAAGATCAAGTTCTTGCCGGTGTAAGTTAGAAGAAAATATTAAGCGGTAAGATTGTGATGTGTGCCGATGCCACTTCACAAAACCTGCAGCATGTGGAGTCTGTACAGGATCTAGTCTTGTTCTCTGTAGAGTATCTGCTGATGCAAATGATAAATTCCTGCACCTCTTAATTCTTGCTCAATTACCTGGTCCTTTTTTGTGATAGATGTACATGCATACATGGGAGCATATTCACCCAGTGCTTTTCCAGCTGCACTGGCTCCCGGTGGAGTACAGGGTCAGATTTAAGGTGCTGGTTTTGACCTTTAAAGCCCTTCACAGCCTAGGGCCCTCGTACCTACAGGACTGCCTCTCCCGGTATGCCCCACGGAGAGCCTCAAGGTCCATAAATAGCACCCTAGTGGTCCCGGGCCCTAAGGAAGTTAGATTAGCCTCAGCCAGAACCAGGGCCTTTTCAACACTGGCTCCAGCCTGGTGGAACGCTCTGCCTCATGAGACCAGGGCCCTGCAGGATCTGATTTCTTTCCGCAGGGCCTGTAAGACAGAGTTGTTCCGCCTGGCCTTTGGCTTTGAGCCAGTTTGATTCCCTCCCCCTCTTTCTTTTTTCTTTTCCTTTCTCCTCCTGCGATGAGGCTACATTTTAATATTTTAATGTTTCAATATTTTAATGTATTTTAATTTTGTTTTTAAGTTGTATTCATTCAACTTTTTTTTATTGCTTGTTAGCCGCCCTGAGCCTGGCCTTGGCTGGGGAGGGCGGGGTATAAATAAAAATTATTATTATTATTATTATTATTATTATTATTTATTATACATAGGACACTAACTTCTGCCAAGTCAGACCCCTGGTCCACCTGGCTCAGTGGCAAGCAGTAGCCCTGCAGGGTTCAGACAGGAGTCTCTCCCAGCAATAATTGCAAATGCCAGATTTGAACCAGGGAACTTTTGCATGCAAAGTCCATGCTGAACCACTGAGATACAACTCTTCCCCATTCCTCCTCCTTGTATTCAGATAATTGCCAAAGGGTTGTCATACGCCCGGGTTTCCCCAGACATTTAAAACTGGTTCCGAAATTTCCAGCCAGAAGCAATTTTCAAAGGCCAAATACTGGCAATGTCTGGTCTGGAAATTTCCGAACATATGGCAGCCCGTGTGTGTCTCTGTGTGTAATGTTGATATGCTGCATTAATCAGTCTGGAATATCTGACATATCCCTCTTCCTGATTTCCAATCAGTGATCACGTCCTCTAAAAATAGATGGTTCTCTCTTTTCAGTTTATTGCTGAAAAATTATACACTGCTTGATTGTAAAAAAAACCCCTCTAAGCAATGAGAACAGTTAAAAACAAGTAGTAAAAACATGTAATTTCTTTTTAAGTATATTAATTGTTTTTAAATGTTTTCATTGGTAATGTGACTTTCTTGTAAACTGCTTAGAGGTTTTATACATTGTCCTTGGGGGTCTGTCTGAACAAGAGTCATGTGAAAATTGCTGCAAGCGGCACACTGGCGTGGTTTTCTGCAGAGCTCTGGCCACATTCTTGAAAATCCTATTGGGATTTGTTTACCCGAAGTGAGCCTGTTTTTCGGAAGTATATATATACAGCTGCTGGAATGTATAAACTTGAGGTATACAAGCCTCTCATGTTTGAAGGATTATCCTTACCAAGCCCTGCAAAAATATTGGCCAAAAGATCGCCTCAATCTCTCTGCTTTGGAGCAAAACCTAATTTTGAAATCTAGTATCTTTTGGATCAGTAGCTGAGAATTAGCATATAAATATATACAGTGGTACCTCAGGTTAAGTACTTAATTCGTTCCGGAGGTCCGTTCTTAAGCCGCAAACTGTTCTTAACCTGAAGCACCACTTTAGCTAATGGGGCCTCCCGCTGCGCCGCCGGAGCACGATTTCTGTTCTCATCCTGAAGCAAAGTTCTTAACCCGAGGTACTATTTCTGGGTTAGCGGAGTCTGTAACCTGAAGCGTATGTAACCTGAAGTGTACGTAACCCGAGGCACCACTGTATAGCGTGTTAAAGGCCTTCCCTGTTTCATGGCCCTCTCCCTGTCACCCCAGATTCCAATTTTGCTTTTGCTTTTTGCAACGCTATTTCCAGGAGTTAATACAGGCACTGGGCCACTCATTTGCATCTTTGCATTTCATTAGCTTTTCTGAAGTGGGAAAAAACCCTCCCACAATGATAGTATTCAGAGAGCTTTTTAAAAAGTTACTGGGAACCAGGCAGAGGGCCCTCTTGGTAGTGGTGCCCACCCTGTGAAATACCCTCCCATCAGACATCAAGGAAATAAACAGCTATCTAACTTTTAGAAGACATCTGAAGGCAGCCCTGTTTAGGGAAGTTTTTAATGTTTGATGTTTTGCTGTGTTTTTAATAGTCTGTTGCGAACCGCCCAGAGTGACGGGGCAACCCAGTCAGATAGGCGGCGTATAAATAATAAAATTAATAACAGTAACAACTATTATTATTATTAATTTGCATCTCGGGACTTATGTATGCTTTCTCTTGTCCAGCTGCTTCCCCTTGGGTAAAACTGCTCTTTAGCGCTCAATCAGAGCAAATGGCAATTCAAACACTTTTGTTTCAAGCAGCTTAGAAATACAGAGGGGTGCCTGAAGAATAGTGAGATTAAAAGTCCCCTTGACTCCTTTGCTGGGCTTGGAATAGGTTGCATTTGTTCCCTCCATGCCCAGCATAGAAACAGAAGCAGGTGCCCATCTGGCAGTCATGGTGGTGTCTATGCTGGGCCCTTCCCCGTCTTCCTCCCCCATGCCTAGTGCAGACGTGGTTAAGGGAGAGAGGAAGCCACCTGCCCCCATGCCAGCAGCTCACAGCTCATTTACCTGCACACAGTTCCCCTTTCCCTATAGCAACCAGATAAGTGGTTAAACAGAAGGCGGTTTTTAATATAGCTAAGCCTTTTGGTTACAAAGGATAATGAAGATTTGAATAAACTGCTGCAGCATGACGACCAGAAAAGCAATTGGCAATGGCAGGGGAGTCCACATGAGCACAAAATGTCATCTTTGGCTACTGCAGCGTCTGGGAAGCTTTGGCTCTGCTTACTATTCAAGTTCAGTTTCTTTCTTTTTTTATAAATATTTTTTATTGCTCAATTTCCACATAACAAATTATCAAACCATATAATCACCTGCATAATTTCCCCCCTTTATTTCCCCCCCTCCCCCCACCAAGGACTTTCCTCAGCTCCTCTCCCTGATTTCACTGCACATATTTTCTCTGCATATTATAAAATTGTATATATCCTTCCATATCTGTCCATCATGTTATCAACAATAAATTTGTGTATGTTTATTCAAAACCTGCCAAGGAGTCCAGTTCATTTTGTTGTCTTTTAAAATAATTTGTAAAAAGTTCCCATTCTTCTTTAAAGTCACAGTTGTCCTTATCTCACAGTTTATATGTCAATTTATCCAGTTCTGGATAACTCATCAATTTTTCTTGCCACTGTTCTTTTGTCGGGGGTTCCTCATTCTTCCCATCCTTGTGCTATCAAGACTCTTGCCGCTGTTGTAGCATACATAAATAAATTCCTTATTTTCCTTGGCAAGTCTTGTCCCACAATCCCTAACAAAAATGCTTCTGGGTTGTTTTACAAATGTCATTTTAAACATTTTCTTCAATTCATTATATATCATTTTCCCCCAAAAAATTAATTTCTGCCCCTCCTGCCTCAGATATACTGAAAAGGATTGAAGGTGAGTCATGTTGCAGAGGCCGGAGAAATGTCTTCTGCATATCCTCAGATAATTGAAGATGCATATCAGTTCTGTAGATGGTCTGTGAGACCAGTTGAATTCTTCAGCTATAGATAAAAGATTGCTCTTTCTGAGTAAATGTCTTATTTTGGCAAGGGTCAATCCCTGTTTCCCTTCTTGCTATTCCTAGTAGTGATCAGTTCTTGCCCCCAAAGGATGAATCCCAGAATCGCCTGCCCAGTTTAACATCCACTTTGCGGATGAGCTGGATGGGGCCACCTGTGAGGTGAGGCCTCCAAGCCTTACTGCGGGGTTAGGGGGGGCTGTCACTCATATTTCAGTAAGAATCTGACTGCCTGGGTGTCCAAAGGCTGCTGGCTAATGTGTTCCAGCCCCAAATTAAAAGAATTCTTTGAGAATAATTTAGATAAAGATACAGAAATATGTATGGTATGGGAGGCAAGTAAAGCATATATAAGAGGTTACTTTATACAGCATAACTCGTGACTTAAAAAAGAGAGACAGGAGAACATACAAAAAGATTCTGTGTGAAATTAGACAAAAAGAAAAAGAGCTGGGAAAATCTCCAACAAATACAAATATTACCTGGCATATTAAGATGCTGCAGAGACAGCTGTGCTAGCAACGCAGGAGATAGAAGCAAAATTGAAATATATTCCTGAATGCCAAAATAAATAGATATTGCAATAATATCAAAAGTTCTGGTATTAGCAACCCAGTTCATCATGGAAGTTTTAGTTTATTGTATGTGTGTTGATGTGGCTACATGTGAAACACGCCTTGTAGGTGAGATTTGTGTTCTTCCTTAGTAATGGTAAATCAAGACCATTATTTGTGTGTGTTAATTTCATTTCAGGGGATCACCATAATTATCAGGGTAGAGGAATCACATCTAAGCGTACCATCTTATTTGCATTCATTATTATTCTCCCCTTCCTCATCATCATCATTGCTCTTGCTGTCTGGAGAGGTGAGTTTTCTGCCTCTTTTCTTAGTGCTTTCTTCCAGGTCTGTCCCAGTCATGACCTCTGTCTTCCATCAGCACTTTGGCTTCTAATGGCCAGTTCACACTGAGCAGCAGCAGTTAGAAAAATAGTTGCCTTTGGCTGAATCCGTATTATCCATGCTCTTGCCAATGGCTCTCTGGGACTTTGGAGGGGATCTTTCCCAGCTCTACCTGAAGTTGCCAGAGATTGAAACTGAGACTGTCAGCATCCAAAGCAGATACTCTGCTACTGAGCAACAAAGCTCCCCCAAGTTGTGTGATTCCTTTACTGCTCCTTCCCGTTCCTCTCTCCAAGAAGCATCTGAATCCAGGGGCCACAAGAGCTGCTTATTGATTCCTTCTTTGCCCTTCCTCCTAGCCAGAGGTTGAAATGTTATGAGCAGATCCCAGTTCAGAGCAGAACTTTCTCTTTCTTGCAGGGGGGAAATCCAACCAGACTTGCCCTGATGTGAATAACTGTGCTGTTTTGGGACCAGCGTGCCCAGATGGCTGGGTTGGCTATGAAGGGAAGTGTTACTTTTTCTCAGAAGAAGAAAGAAACTGGACTTCTGCCCAGAGCTTTTGCATTTCCCAGGGCTCTTCTCTGGCTAAGATTCAGAGTGAGCTGGAAATGGTGAGACCAACAAATGTATAAAGGTTTGTGAGAATTATCTCCTGCACAACACCAAGGATGAGCTATCCTTATGGAAATATAAAGAGAATTTGTGACATAGCTTGGCTTTGTCATAATTTGATGCAAACAAAAATAATAATAAAATTCTTCAGGAGCACCTTAGAGACCAACTAAGTGTGTTCTTAGTATAAGATTTCGTGTGCATGCATACTTCTTCAGATATGCACACGAAAGCTTATACAGTGCTACCTCGGGTTACAGATGCTTCAGGTTACATACGCTTCAGGTTACAGACCCCACTAACCCAGAAATATTACCTTGGGTTAAGAACTTTGCTTCAGGATAAAAACAGAAATCGTGCTCCAGCGGCGCGGCGGCGGCAGGAGGCCCCATTAGCTAAAGTGGTGCTTCAGGTTAAGAACAGTTTCAGGTTAAGAACAGACCTCCAGAACGAATTAAGTACTTAACCCGAGGTACCACTGTACCAAGAACAAACTTAGTTGGTCTCTAAGGTGCTACTGGACAATTTATTTTCATTATTTTTATTTTTATTTTGACTGCATCAGACCAACACGCTACCTACCTGAATCTTGATGTAAACAAATTATCCATCTTACTCTTCCTTCAGCCATTTTCCTATCCTTGAACCTCCTTCCTCCCTTTTCAGCAAAGCTTTCCTTCTGCTATTTAAGCCTCACTTTCTTTGCATCTTCTGTCTCACTGCTCAGGTCTCTGTCAGAAATTCGTTCTCCTCCCACAATTGGCATTATTTGAAGTAGAAGGCTCATTTGGAGGCATTGCTCTAAGCTGTTTGTGTGTTTTCGACCAAGGTGTTCATGCTCCGGTTCAAGGGCGAAGCTGAGCATTGGATTGGCCTCCGGAAGGACTTCAATGATACCTGGATATGGGCAGATGGATCAGAATACTGTAACACGTGAGTCCTTGCTCTTCTCTTGAATTGGGATTAAGCAGGAGGCATGCTGGGTACAGTGAGTTGATCCCAAACCTGAATCTGTAACCAAAAATCACTCCAGAATGTGAACTTCAAGGAATCAGAATTGCACTCAAAGCATAAACCTCTCAGTAACCTTCCTGATATGTTGCAGTTTCTCACCTCTGACCAGACACACAGAAACCATCCACACTGCTGACAAGCTTCAGCTAATGCTCTTGAGCTACCTCTGCTGTGGAGAAAGAGGATGGGGGTGATGATGATGATGATTATTATACCCCACCCATCTGGCATGGTTTCCCTACCCGATCGGGGTGGCTCCCTACAGAATATTAAAACATCAAACATTAAAAACTTCCCAAACAGGGCTGCCTTCAGATGTCTTCTAAAAGTCAGATAGTTTTTTATTTATTTGACATCTGATGGTAGGGCGTTCCACATGGCGGACACCACTAAAGAGAAGGCCCTTTACCTGGTCCCCTGCAACCTCACTTCTCGCAGTGAGGAGACCGCCAGAAGCCACTGTCCGGGCTGAACAATGAGGGTGGAGACGCTCCTGCAAGGAGAAATCCTTGTTCTCCCACTCTCATAATTCTTAAGGTCAATCAATTAAGCTGAAAGGTGGGGGATTTACAAAATATGGAATCCACTCCCGCAAGACAGACAACTTTAGCAGGGAATTAGACAGACTCATGGAGAACAAGGCTGTTGATGGACCCTGATGATGAGTCCTATGCTGCCTCCAAGAACTGAGGCAGCGTAGCTTTGAATACAAGTTGCTGTGGAACAATCATTGGGGAAGGTTCTAGTAAAAGCATAAGTATTTTATTGTTTTTTGGGTAAACAGTGAAGAGAATGGAAACAATACAAAATATCAGGTACAGATAATCCGTCATACAACCAAAGCATAAAACCACACAGGGTGAAGCTTATTCGTGGATCAGATCTCTCCATAATGTTAAAGGTGGTTTCATTAGGGATGCAGATTTATGAGTATAATCAAGAAACATAAGCCATGTACTCTCACACTTTCTTAATCTGCTATCTAACAATCCTGCTATGCTCCCTGACCGGCCTGCCAGTCATGCAGTGTAAGCAAGCCATGCAACACAAGCCCCAAATCAATGGATTCAAGTTACAAGAAAGGAGATTCCGACTAAATCTCAGGAAGAACATTCTGATAGTAAGAGCTGTCTGACAATCAAACCTTGGGAGGTTGTGGACTCTCCTTTATTGGAGGTTTTTAAAGAGAGGTTGGATGGCTACCAGTCAAGGGATCTTTAGCTATGATGAACACAATGTGGTTTTCTAATGGATTCTTGGCTACATAGTTTGACACTGTCCCACCCATACATGACAGAGCAACAAACCTCCCTTGCCCATCTCACCTTTCCTTCCTGTGTTGCAGGTTGGTAGTGAAAGGAAGTGAAAACTGTGCGTATCTAAGCAAGGAGTTTGTCATTGCCTCCCGTTGCCACATACCGACAAAGTGGATCTGCAATCACCCTGATGCGTATGTGAGGAATGAAAACTCTACAGCAGGAAAAGTCATATGCCAAGAGAAATTATGGTAAGTCCCAGGGATGTAAGAAATCAGCAATTTCCATTCTGGCCCATTTAATCACAATCAGCACTCTGCTGCAGTTTGATTTCCTTCTAATGCTACAATATTCATCTCACTGTCTACTATTTAACATTGTTTGTGCAACTTGCATTCATTTCTGTGTAAAGGAAACATCAAAACAATGTAAGAAAGTATTTAATGACATACCATTTGTGGACATCAAGAAGGCAACAACAATCAGGTGAACAAATACCGATTGTATTCACTTGATTCTCTGACCACAGAGCTGCCACCATTTCTGCTTGCTTTTCTGTTTTTGACTTTTTTTTTTAAATATAAATTTTATTTTATAACACCATACAAACAAAAAAGACAAACACAACACATTCACACCAAAAAAAACTAAATAAAGAAAAATATATATATATAAAATATATATATATACTCCTGACATAAGACAACAACAAATTAACTACATTAACTACATAACACACAACACTGACTGACTTCCCTTCATCTCGGTTTCGGAATGTGTTATAAAATTTTTCTATCTGCAGTTTCTTTTCCTCAAAAAAAAATTCTTTACATCACAAGTGTTATATCGCACCTACTGTGTTTTTTAGTTTTTTTTACCTCTGTTTCCATGTATGCCATGAATTTATTCCAATCTTTATTAAACTTTGTGTCTTTTTGATTTCTTATTTTCTGTGTCATTTTTGCCAATTCTAGATAGTCGAGTAGTTTCGATTGCCATTCATTTATGGTTGGGATTCTTGGTGTCTTCCAATTCTGCGCTATTAGAGTTCTGGCGGCCACTGTCGCGTACTGAAAGAGTGTTTGATCTTCCTTTTGATTTCCTCTCCAATTATCCCCAGCAAAAAGGCTTCAGGTCTTTTTATAAAGGTATATTTAAAGATTTTTTTAGTTCATTGTAAATAGATTCCCAAAATTTTCTAATAGGCTCGCACAACCACCACATATGATAAAAATCGCCCTCCTTAATCTTGCACTTCCAGCATAATTTATCACCAGTTTTATATATTTTTTTCCAGTTTTACGGGTGTTACGTACCACCTGTACATCATTTTGTACATATTTTCCCTGAGTGTTGTGCATGCCGAGAATCTCATACCTTTATTCCATAGTGCCTGCCATTTATCAAACTCTATGTTATACCCAAAGTCCATTGCCCATCTCACCATTACCTCCTTTACTTCTTCATCTTTGGTGTCCCATTCGAGCAACAGGCTATACATTTTCGATAGGAGTTTTGTTTTACTTTCTAATATTTCAATCTGGAATCTAGATTTTTCTCACTTATCCCATTTTTTTATCCTCGGTCCAGATAGAGTTGATTTGATGAAATTGGATCCAACCTGTCAATTTGTTCTTTATTTCTTCATATGGCCTAATCCTCCAACCGGTCTCTGTTTTTACTAATAAATCTTCGTAGGTCCATCTTTCTCCTTCGATATTTGTTTTTTTTATTGTCAGGATATCGATTGGCGAAAGCCACCAAGGGGTATTCTGTTCCAATAATTTTTTATTTCTTTCCCACACCTCCAGTAATGGCCCTCTGAAGATATGGTTAGAAAATCCTTTATGGATCTTTCCCTTATTACGCCATAGGTAAGCGTGCCAACCGAATCTTAAATCAAATCCTTCTAAATCTAGCAGATCTTTATTTTTTATAATAATCCAATCCTTGACCCAACAGAGGCATGAGGCTTCATAATATAACTTTAAATTTGGGACTGCGAATCCTCCTCTATCTCTTTGGTCTGTGAGTAATTTGAATCTAATTCTCGGCCTTTTTCCTTGCCAGATGAATTTAGAAAGTATTTTCTGCCAGCCCTTGAATATTGATGTTCCCCTGATTATTGGTATATTCTGAAATAAGAATAGCAGTTTCGGTAATAGACTCATTTTTATTGCCGCCATTCTCCCCGACCAGGATAGCTTTATTCTATTCCAGGTATCTAAGTCCTTCCTTATTTCTTTCCATGCGGTTGTATAATTATCTTCCATCAAATTAATGTTCTTTGTCGTTAACCAGATTCCAAGGTATTTTACTTTTTGGTTACTTTAATTCCAGTCTGAGATTCAAGGTGGTTTTTACCTTCTCTTCTACATTTTTAATCAACATTTTAGTTTTTGTTCTGTTTAATTTAAAACCGGATAGTTTTCCGAATTCTTCTAACAGATCTAACACCTTACTGACACTCTCTTCTGGATCCTCCAAAGACAACATAAGGTCGTCAGCATAAGCTTTCAATTTGTATTCTTTCACTCCTATTTTTATTCCGCGTATCTCTGAAGTTTTTCTTATCTTATTTGTAATTATCTCTAACATCATAATAAACAGAAGAGGTGACAGAGGGCACCCCTGCCTAGTACCCTTCGAGATTTCAAAGGGTTCTGTTAAGTTATTATTAATAATTAGTTTAGCACTTTGCTGTGAGTAAATTGCTTTTATTCCTTCCAGGAATGTGCCCTCTATCCCTGTCATTTCCAAACATTTTATAAGAAAATGCCAGGATACGTTATCGAATGCCTTTTCGGCATCAATAAACAGTAAAGCTGCAGGGATTTCGTTTTTGCATTCTAAGTACTCAATGATATTTATTGTATGTCTTATGTTGTCTTTTATTTGCCTATTGGGTAAAAAACCAGCCTGGTCGGTATGGATAAGATTAACTAGGCATTTTTAAAGTCGAGTCGCCATTATATCTGCATAGATCTTATAATCATTATTCAATAGTGAAATCGGTCTGTAATTCTTAATATTCAGCCTATCCGAGTCAGGTTTCGGTATCAGCGTAATGTATGCCTCTTTCCATGACGCTGGTGTTCTTCCTTCTCTTAAAATCTCATTCATTACTTCACATAGCACTGGTGTAATAAGTTCTTCTAGGACTTTATAATACTTGGCTGACAATCCATCTGGGCCTGGGGCTTTCCCCAGTTTCATCCTCTTTATCGCCTCTTGAATTTCCTCTGTTTTTATGGGTTTATTTAATAAATTTCTTTCCTCTTCCGATATACTGTTGATTCTGTTTTCTTCTAGATATTTTCCCATTTCTATTTCATCTTCTTCTTCTCTTTTATATAGGTTTTCATAGAATTTAAGGAAGCTCTTTTTTATTTCATTAGGGTCTTCCAAGATTTGTTCTTCTACTTTTATTTTATTAATAAGATTTTGTTTTCTTCTTTTCCTCAACTGCCATGCCAGGAACTTTCCAGTTTTATTTGCAGATTCAAAAATTTTTTGTTTCATTAACTTAATTCCCCATTCTACCTCTTGATTTATTAATGTTGAATATTGTGCTTGTATCATCTTATACAGTTGCTTGTTCCCTTCATCGCTCGGCTTTTCTATCAAATTCTTTTCACATTCTCTCAATTGAGTGATTAGCTCTTCCTTTTTTTGTTCTCTCGCCTTTCTTCTTTGACTATTTTGTTGTATCAAAAAACCTCTTAACACTGCCTTGCTGGCATCCCAAACTATATCCATGTTAGTCTCCTTATTAATATTTAAATCAAAATAGTCTTTTAAAGTAATTTTAGCCTTATCAATCACTTCTTCTTTTTCAAATAAATAATCATTCATTCTCCATCTGTAGATACCCTGGGTCTTCCAGTTTAAGTGTAATATTATTGGGTTGTGATCAGATAGTGTTCTGGGTAGTATCTCACATTTCGACACTCTTATTGTTAATTCTCTTGATATCCATATCTGATCCAATCTACTCCAGCTCTGATGCGGCTCTGAGAAATGTGTGAATTGTTTGGTCATGGGGTTTTTGAATCTCCATATATCTATTAAATCTAAGTTTTCCTCAAGGTCAATAAACGATCTCGGAAGTTTCCCTTGATTTAAGTTCTTCCTTTTCGAGCTTCTATCTAATTCCGGTTTTGGCACTCCATTTAAATCTCCAAGTAGGATCAATTTGTGATTCTCTAGATCTAATAAAACTTGTTCCAATTTTTTGAAAAACTCCATTTTGTTTGTATTTGGCGCATAGACCGTTACCACATTAAGTTTTTCTCCCTGGTAGTTGATTTGTACTCCTAGGATTCTTCCTTCCTCATCCTTGCATATCAGTTTAGGTTCCAATTTCTCTTTCACATAAGTTACCACCCCTCTTTTCTTCTTTGAGTCTGAATTGATAAATTCTATTCCCAACTTTTTATTTATTAAAATATGTTTGTGTTTTTTGGCAACATGTGTTTCCTGGCAACAAATCACATCAATATTTTTTTCCCTTATGATTTTCTCAAATTTATTTCTCTTGGACTTTTCATTAAAACCATTCACATTCCACGACAGAAATTCATTTCGACTAATTGCACTTTATCCAAATTTCCGATTTAAATTCTGGTGCCTCTATTTCCAATAGTTTCCACCTCTTCCTCCTCCTCCTCCTCTCCTCTATTCCTCTCACTGTCTACTATTTAACATTGTTTGTGCAACTTGCATTCATTTCTGTGTAAAGGAAACATCAAAACAATGTAAGAAAGTATTTAATGACATACCATTTGTGGACATCAAGACAGCAACAACAATCAGGTGAACAAATACAGATTGTATTCACTAGATTCTCTGACTACAGAGCTGCCACCATTTCTGCTTGCTTTTCTGTTTTTGTCACAATTCTCTGACATGCTTAGGTAATGTATGTCCATTGTATGACCTAGATACTGTTTCTAGAAGGAAAGGCAGCAAATTGTATGTATGGAAACAATTTTACACCAAATCTGGTGTGTGACAGGAAACTACAGAGCGGAGTGCTCAACTCTGACGCTTGTTCACAGCTTCATACAAAACCTCAAATGATCTGAACTAGGTTTCAATGCCAACACACTTTCAACCTGATCTTTGCCCAACATCAACTCGAAACTTATCTTACCTTACAATGAATCTTGAAATCTGTCACCAAGAAAAATCAGAAGCAGAGACATTGGTCTTCTACATTGAACCTAGCCATTTGCTAACTAAGTGGAGAGGGCACAAGTTGATGATTCGTGGATTTATACCGTTCTGCCAGAAATCCATCAATTGTTTCTTCTATTTCAGATTGTTATTAGAGTTCTGAACAGGACCACATTTCCTTGCAAAGAACCCTGAGGACACGAGTCAAATCTGTGCAGCATGTGTAAATTTCAGCTTGGTATTATCTAGATTCAAGGCTTTTTAAAATTGTATTTATTTATGTATCATAAATTTTTTAAAAATTAGCAAAACGGTTTTTTGGGTAAAAGATCTTTTAAGAAGTTATGGAAATGCCTTTTTATTTTTTATTTTTATCTGCATTTTTTATACAAAAGCAGAAAAGAAAAACAACCTATCCCACATCCCCTTCCCTCCACCCCTCAGTTGTACAACTTTGATATCAATCTCAACATACAAATAAATGTCTGATAGCTTCCCTTCCACCCTTTTCTTGGTTTCTTTACCTTTCTGCTAAATAGCGTATTCCAAATTTTTAATCTTCAATGTTCCTTTTTTGTTAAATGCTGTTAATTCTGTTGATTTCTATTCTGCTGGATTTACTCAAGACCTGCTGGGTTATTTACTTGTTGTTGTTTAGTCATTTTGTCATGTCCGACTCTTCGTGACCCCATGGACCACGGCACTGCCAGGCACTTGTTACTTATTTACACTGGTTCTTAAAATATTCAATAAACGTTTTCCAATCCTCCTTATATTCTTTGTCATTTTTTCTTTCTTGCCCTGTTCTTTATGCCTGCCAATTCAGCATATTCAAGCATTTTAAACCGCCACTCTTCCTTGGTGGGTACCATACTCATTCTCCACCTTTGTGCCAATAAGATTCTAGCTGCGGTGGTGGCATATAATAATAAATTATTTTGTTTCTTAGGGACTTCTGTTGTTATCATTCCCAAAAGGAATGCATTTTGGGGAAGGTTATTTTGATATATCTTTTAAAATTCATTATAAAGATTCTTTGCAGGACTGCCACATGTGGAAAAAGGATCCCTACTTCATTGCATTCTCAACATTTACCTTTTTCTTTTTAAAATATTTTCGCTAGTTTGGCAGGTGTTAAATATCACCTGTGGCTCATTTTCGCCATGTTTCCTGCAGTGAAAATGAATTTCATGTTTACTATCCATAAATTCTCCCACAGCTTGTAATCAATGTTATCACCTGTGCCCACTTAATCATGCTTGATTTCACAAATTCCTCTTTTGTACATTTTTTGTACAGTTTGTACATTTTTTGTAATACTTTTGCTTTTGTATCTAATAGGTCCCTTGTGAATTGCGATTTTTGTTCTGTGAATCCAATTTTTTTATCCATCTTAAACAATTTGTTAATGTGGTGTATATGTAACCAATCTGTTAATAGGTTTTTTTAGTTCTTCAGGATCTTTCAACCTTCGTCCCTGGCCTGTAAGATCTTGTATTTCTTTATACATTAATCATTGTTTATCCATATTTGTTCTTTTCCAAGCAGTGGCTTCAATAGGGGATATCCACATTGATGTTTCATTTTCTAATAGATTGTTATGCTTTTCCCATACTCTGTATAGATTTTTCCTGATCACATTATTTTATAAATGTTTGCCTTTCCATACAATAGGCAGGTATGCCACCCAAATTGTATATAATGTCCTTCCAAATTTAAACCTCTGATATTTTCCAACAATATCCAATCTTTTATCCACCATAAGCATGATGCCTCAAAGTAGATTTGGAAATCTGGTAGGGCGAAGCCTCCTTTTTCTTTTACAGTGGTACCTCAGGTTAAGAACTTAATTTGCTCTGGAGGTCTGTTCTTAATCTGAAACTGTTCTTAACCTGAAGCACCACTTTAGCTAATGGGGTCTCCTGCTGCTGCTGCGCTGCTGCTGCACGATTTCTGTTCTCATCCTGAAGCAAAGTTCTTAACTAGTTCCCGAGGTACTATTTCTGGGCTAGCAGAGTCTGTAACCTGAAGCGTATGTAACCCGATGTACCACTGTATATTGATCATGACTTTGTTTTATTCTGGGCTTCCTTCCCTGCCCGATAAATCATGATATATTTTTTCTGCCACTCTTTGAAGCATTGAGAGTTAATTATTGGGATATTTTTAAATAAGAATAACATTTTTGGAAGGACATTCATTTTCATAGCCGAAATCCTACCTAGTAGCGATCGTTTCATTCTTTCCCATATTTCCAAATTTCTCTTTATTTCTTCCCAAACCTTTACCAAATCTTGGTAAATGTTAAAATTATTCGTTGTTAGCCAGATCCCCAGATATTTATTTTTTCCCCTCTACTTTCCACCCACACATGGTTTCTAGATCAATTTTTGTTTGGTTGTCCATATATTTAACCATCATCTTGGTTTTTCCTGTGTTTAATTTGAAACCAGCTAGTTTTCCAAATCTGTCTATCTTTTCCATCACTTCTGGTATGCTCTCTTGGTTGTTCTAAAGTTACGGTAATACTAAGTCCGCAAACGTTTTTATTTTATAGTTTTGCTGCCCCACTTTTATTGTATTCTATCATTTTTCCTTATATTTTGTGCCAAAACATCAAATATTAATACAAATAACAGCGGAGACAGTGACAAAGAAGTCACCTAGGGAAATGTCCTGAACTGCTTGGGGTCTTTGCATTAATTACCTGAAAGGACAGGAGGAAACATCTAAGACCAGCTGAGGCTGCAAAGCCTCAATGTGCTGGGACCTCGCAACAATCTTGCACAGTGAGTCTTCAGTTGGAGGGCAGTCTGCTTGGGGGGCGGCAGGATATACAATTTGGGGGCTTAATCTATCTCCCAAGATGCTACCAATCTTTTTGACTACCAGCCAAAAAAAACATAAAATAAAAACAGACAGTGCACTGATGGGGGTGCAAGTCATCACTTCATTTGTTAGATTAGTCATTCCCTGAGTGAAGAGGCTGGTGGCGCTGTGGTCTAAACCACTGAGCCTCTTGGACTTGCCAATCAGAAGGTCGGCGGTTCAGACTGAGTGAGGTCCCATTGCTCTGTCCCAGCTCCTGCCAACATAGCAGTTTGAAAGCACACCAGTGCAAGTAGATAAATAGGTACTGCTGCGATGGGAAGGTAAATGGCAGGACCCAGAAAGCTGTCTGTGGACAAACTCTGGCTCCCTCGGCCTGAAAGTAAGTTGAGTGCCACACCCCATAGTCGCCTTTGACTTGACTTAACCATCTAGGGGTCCTTTACCTTTTACCTTTACCTAATATCTGGTAAACTCCCCTTTGCCTTTGGCTACAGATTCTTCACTTACCGGTAATTGCATTATAATAGTATATTAATATAAATCAATGAAAAGGAACTGAAGGGAACTGACAAACTGGCTGCTTTTGTCCCAATACACTAGCAAAGGTTTGGATTTTATGACAGTTGCCCATTTGGGGAATAAAACCTTACCCATAATACACAAGTTATTACTAGGGCATTTGGCTTCCTGCCATAAGTCGGTTAAGGAGCATCCTGGCAACTGCAGAATATTCTGGGCTGGAGGCGATCTTGCAAGCTGCACAAGAAGTCAGTAGGCAACTCATTGTTCAGAAAGAGATGGTTTCTTACTTCCAACACTTGGCCCCATTTTGTGCTTATATCGGGAAAGCTGCTTTCATGCACATCCAATTAGATAAAGTACTACAAGCGTTAGAATTAACACTATTTCGCCTTATCAACCCACAGCTGTTTACTTTAGCAGGGCCCGATACTGTAAACCTGCAAAATAAAGGAAATGATTTTGTGATGGGATTATGAGCTGCTTGTGCGTAAAATCGTATTCCCTCAGAGTTTGTTCAAGTCCACAAACCTCTGTCTGTGACTGAGCCCCTCTGACATGGCTCCTCTAGTCACTAGAAGATTCCGACAGTGGTTGCTTTCGTAATCGCTTCCAACATAAAAGCTCCTTAACGGAAACACGTCTTCTGGACTCTCTGCGTGACAGTTTCCGGCGAGGAGTGGGTGTCGCTACAGGAGGTCCGGAAACCTCACCACTGTTTTCGCTGGAAGTATCTCTGAGCCATCCCCCCAGCTCCCTTTCCCTCAGTTCAGCTTCTCTCCCCCTGCTGGTTTCCTCTTCCGCTGCTGAGTCTCTTCCAACCTGTCTGAGCCCTTTCACCTCCCTCAGTTCAGCTTCTCTCCCCTTGCTGGTTCCCTCTTCAGCTGCTGAATCTCTTCCAACCTGTCTGAGTCCTTTCACCTCCCTTCCTTCCGATGGCAGTTCCCTGACATCCACCTCCCCCTCCAGGGCCCCCTTCACCCCCTCTCGCCCCCTCCTCTACGGGCGGTGAGGAGGCAAAACCCGGAATGAACTTCCTTCATCTTCCGATGTCTCGAACACTTCTCTCCACCTGTTGCGGTTCCTGGTCTCGAAGCACTCCTCCTCCTCCGAGTCCATCTCCCCTTCCCCTTCCGATTCTGGGAATCCTTCCAACTCCTCCTCCTCCTCAGTGGTCCCAAAGTATTCCCTCCGGAACCTCTCCACAGGCTGAGGTTTCCGCGGGAACCTTTGATGGAACATTTCTATCAATACCTCGTCATTGATATCTTTGGCCATTACCCACGTGTTTTCTGACTCCGGTTCTCCTTCCCACGCTACCAAATACTCCACCTGATTCCCCTTCCACCTGGCATCAAGGATTTCTGCCACATGACTGCTGCATTCTCTTTCTTCTATGACCGGTCCCAGTGGCCATCCCTTCTCGTCCCCCCTCGTACGGTGACAGTAACGACCTGTGAAATACTGGGTGCAGTTTCATGTGGTTGGGTAACCGGAGCCTGAAAGCCACTGGGTTGACCTGTTGAATGACCTCAAAGGGACCCAACCTCCTGGGTCGTAATTTCTTACAACCTCCTTTGAACGGCAACCCTCGGGTTGACAGCCACACCCTATCTCCAACCCTTATGGTTTCACCTTCCCTTCGGTTCTTGTCTGCCTGCCTCTTGTATTCTTCCTTCGCCCTTTCTAAGTTGAGTTGGAGCTGACGGTGGATTGCTTCCATTTCTTCTACAAAATGCTCGGCTGCCGGTACGCTCCATCTCTCCCCTTCTCCCCCTGGGAAAGCCCTGGGATGACACCCATAATTAGCCAAGAAGGGGCTCATCCCTGTGGACACATTCTCGGCATTGTTGTAGGCAAATTCCGCCAGCGCCAACTTTTCTACCCAGTCATTCTCTCTGTCATTGACATAACACCTCAGGTATTGCTGGAGGACACCGTTTGCTCTTTCCGCCTGCCCGTTGGTTTCAGGGTGCCGGGCAGTCGAAAAGTTGACCTCCACCTGCAGTAAGCTCATGAGCTTCCTCCAGAACCTGGAAGTAAATTGTTTTCCTCGGTCTGAGACCACCCTCAATGGCACCCCGTGCAACCTAAAAATGTGTTCTACAAATAACTTCGCTGTCTCTTCCGCCGTGACTGCATGCGAGCAAGCTACAAAGTGGCACATCTTTGTTAGTAGGTCTACCACCACCATGATGGCTGTTTTCCCTTTGGACTTCGGCAGATCAGTCATAAAATCTATCGACACTGCCTCCCAAGGTCGTTCTGGTGTTGGTAAGGGTTCTAATAGCCCCGCCGGCGCCCGCCTTTCCCCTTTGGCTCGCTGGCACTGCTCGCACCCTCTTACATACTCACGTACATCCTCCCTCACCTTAGGCCACCAAAATTCCCTGGTGACCAACCACATGGTTTTGTGTTGCCCACAATGCCCCGCCGTGGGGCTGTCATGCAACTGCTTGAGTACCCTCCCCCTTAAGTCTCCTTCAGGGATATACAGTGCCCCTTTGTAATACAAAGCTCCATTTCTTTCCTCGAAACCCCTTGATTCCTCTCCCTCATCCCTAAGACCTCTGAGCTTATTCTGGGCGTATTCATCATTCTCTGTTTCTTCTACCAGTTCTCTTTGTCCCACCAATGCCGCCCCACACACCCAGCGGTCCTCTGGAATGACATGTCTCTCTTCGGGTGCTCCCTCCCCCTCCCAATATTCAGGTTTGCGTGAGAGAGCGTCCGCCCTAATGTTCTCTGGGCCTGGCACGTAACAAATCTCAAAGTTAAATTTGGAGAATTCCTGGGCCCATCTCACTTGCCGTTGGTTGAGCACTCGTGCCGTCCTCCAATACTCTAGGTTCTTGTGGTCAGTGCACACTTGCACCTTATGTTGTGCGCCAATTAGCAGGTGCCTCCATCTCCGGAACGCCTCATGAATGGCTAGTAGTTCTCGGTCATACACCGTGTAGTTCCTCTCGGATTTGTTCAGCTTTCGCGAAAAAAAGCACACGGTCTCCACTCTGACTCCTCCTTCCCTGGCTGGAGAAGCACCGCCCCAACCGCTCTGTCTGATGCGTCAGTTTCCACTCTCATCGGTTTTGTAAATCCACATGCAGGAGCTGTTGTTCCGAGGCGAAGGCCCTTTTTAGTTCCTCAAATGCTTGCTCCGCCTCCTCCGTCCAAACGAACTTCTTCTTACTGCTGAGACAGTCCGTAATGGGCGCCGTCAGGTGGGCAAAGTTTGGGATGAACTTACGATAGAAGTTCCCAAACCCTAAAAACCTCTGCACATCCTTCCTTGTTTTGGGTGTTTTCCATTCCAGTACCGCCTGGACCTTGTCGGGATCCATGGCCAACCCCTTGTCAGACAGGCGATACCCCAGGAATTCCACCTCCTTGGTATGAAACTGACACTTCTCCAGTTTCACCCACAGCTGGTTGGCTTGCAGCCTGCTCAACACTTCTCTGACGTCTCTCACATGCTGCTCCTCATTCTCAGAATACACCAACACGTCGTCTAAGAAGGCCACACAATTCTTGTAAAGCAACGGCCCCAGGACGTGGTTCATAAACGATTGAAATGTTGCGGAGCCTGCTTGTAGACCGAAGGGCATAACTAAGTATTCAAATGCCCCTAAAGGGGTGAACATGGTGGTTTTCCATTCATCCCCCTTCCTTATTCGTATCAGGTTGTACGCCCCCCTTAGATCCAGCTTGGTAAAAATCTTTCCCTTCCGCACCCTTGTCAAAATGTCGTCAATCCTGGGCATCGGGAAGGCCACTGGTTCTGACACTGCATTTAAGGCCCTGAAGTCACACACCAGTCTCGGCTTGTTCGTGTTTTTTGTCCACAAAAACACTGGGCTGCCCCCACCGCCCTGGACTCTCTGATGAACCCTCTCTTCAGGTTCTTGTCAATGAACTCTCTTAGCTCCTGCATCTCTCTGTCTGACATGGCGTACAGCTTGCCCACAGGGAGCTGTGCCCCAGGGAGCAAATTGATTTGACAGTCAAAGGCTCTATGCGGTGGTAGTTGGTCAGCTTCCCTTTCGCTGAAGACGTCGCGGAGATCTGCGTATTGTCGTGGTACCTTCACGTTCTCCGTCACTTCAGTCCCTGCTAGAGTGGCTTGGGCCCCTGCCAAAACCCTTCCCTCTTTGCAATGTTCTAAGCAATGTGCTGACCCAAAAGAAACCACTCTTTGATGCCAGCCCACCAGCGGATCATGTAACGCTAGCCAGCTCATCCCCAATATAATGGGAGCTCCTCCCAAGGTGGCCACATTAAATGCTATTAGTTCGGTGTGCCTTGCCACCTTCATTATCATTGGGACGGTCTGCAAGCTGACTTCTCCTCCCAACAGCTCCCTGCCATCGATCGTGGTTACCTGCAGGGGTTGCTTAAAGGGAGCGTCTGTATCTGGTGTTCAGCTGCAAACTCTTTGCTCATGAAATTGCAGGAGCTGCCTGAGTCCAACAGCGCCTTTATCTTTAGAGGGTGTCCGTTTGGCAGCTCTAGTGTCACTTCTATCACTAGGGCGGGTTTAGGAGGTTCTGGAGTGGGCACTTTCACTGCTCTTTGGCCTGGCTGCTGTGCCCCGACAATGGCAGCCAGGCGTTGGCTTTTAGTTGCTCCGGTATTTTGTCCTCTCTTCCCTCCACAGCTCCCACCATCCCTTGCCATTCCTTCCTCTGGGGGCAGACTCTGGCAAAGTGCCCTGGCTGTTGGCAGAGATAGCATTTCCGGGCGCCTTTTCCATCCTTCTTTCCCCCCTCACTGGGCTTTGAAACTGCGCGCGCGCGCTGTTCCGATTTCCATCGGCTCTGCCGGCGGGACAGTTGGCTCTGGAATGTCTGGAATGCGGAACTCCTTCCAACGTTCCCCTTTCCCTTCCCGCCTCTCCAATGCTCTCGCCTCCTGGCGCGCTCCTATGGCCAGCGCTGATTTGGTCAGCTGGTCCATAGACTCCGCCCTGGGCGCCCGGGAAAGTTCATCTTTCACAGCCGAAGAAAGCCCTTCTTCAAAGAGCATTTGAATGGGTTCCGCCGATAAGTCCCACCCCAATCTGTGTATCAGCATGGTGAACTCAGTCCAGTACTCACGTACAGATCGGCTCCCCTGTTTGCAAGCCATTAACTGTCTGCGCACCACTCCCTTTTCAATATCGCTGGAAAACATCAGATCCATGGCGCGAAAGAACTTCATTGTGTCCTTTAGGACGTCACTATGCGCTGCCATCAGGGGTCTCACCCAGTCTCTCGCCCCCTTTTCAAGATGCCCAATCACAAAAGCCACTCGTGATTCCTCATCAGGGAAATCATCAAACTGCAGATTGAGGGCATATTGCATTTCTGTCCGAAAGCTATGATAGTCTTTGGGCTCCCCCCCAAATTTCTGCACCAATCCTGGTACCTTTCTGGCGAGCTGGGTGGCTTTCTCCCTTTGTCTGCATCTTGAGCCCTCCTCTCCTCCAGCCTCGCCGTCTGCAGCGCCAGCTGGACCTCCAACACCCGGTACCTTTCTTCCAGGCTTGGACCCGCTCCAGCCCCTGCTTCTCCGGTTCCTGCTGGGTTGCTCATTATGCCTTCTCCTGCACAAGCTGCGTTCAAAGACTGTCGGAATGCTGTGATGGGATTATGAGCTGCTTGTGCGTAAAATCGTATTCCCTCAGAGTTTGTTCAAGTCCACAAACCTCTGTCTGTGACTGAGCCCCTCTGACATGGCTCCTCTAGTCACTAGAAGATTCCGACAGTGGTTGCTTTCGTAATCGCTTCCAACATAAAAGCTCCTTAACGGAAACACGTCTTCTGGACTCTCTGCGTGACAGTTTCCGGCGAGGAGTGGGTGTCGCTACAGGAGGTCCGGAAACCTCACCACTGTTTTCGCTGGAAGTATCTCTGAGCCATCCCCCCAGCTCCCTTTCCCTCAGTTCAGCTTCTCTCCCCCTGCTGGTTTCCTCTTCCGCTGCTGAGTCTCTTCCAACCTGTCTGAGCCCTTTCACCTCCCTCAGTTCAGCTTCTCTCCCCTTGCTGGTTCCCTCTTCAGCTGCTGAATCTCTTCCAACCTGTCTGAGTCCTTTCACCTCCCTTCCTTCCGATGGCAGTTCCCTGACAGATTTGTTGTTGCTTTTCAAAAAAAAAAACAACGAGAGAGAGAAGACTGTGTCATTCAGTATCAGGATACTGTTTTCATTCTCACATCAAAACCTTTCCCTTCATGCCAAGAGGTGAGCTATTTATCCTCAGCTGACTGACATGCAGCTGATTGACATCCAATGCCCTTTTAACAGGTATTGAGGAGAAGGGGGGGCTCTTGGGCTGCTTTTATAAAAATGTATTTTGTGTTTTCATATTGTGATTTTAAGTTGTAACTGTACTGAGACCTGTGGGTATATATTTAATAAATAAAAATAATCCGAACAGATGTTACCAGACGCCTCTTGGGACAGATGGAAACTTAAACCTTGGCATCAGTAAAGGCATCTCTTTTATTTATATTGGTAGTTCAGCCTTTGTGTATGCGTTGATTTGAAGGTTGTAGTTAAGGCCTCCCACTTTTTTCATTTCTGTGCTTTATTTACATCACTAGGTCTATGCTTCTTTGCTAGCATGCAAATCAATAAAAAATAAAAAATTACAGAAATTATCTGTGCACACCTGGAACTACTCACAGTTCTCCCTTGAAGGGGGATCCATCAACCCATTCCCAGGTCCACTCTTCAGAGAGTCTGGCTGCTTTGAGTCCCAACCAATACGAGGTTTCCTTTGTCAAATGCTTTATGATTGCCTATAATGGAACAGACAAGGGTGTTGCCAGGGCTTTTCTTTCAGCTGGAACTTGCCAGAACTCAGTTCTGGCACCTCTAAGGTGGTCACCGTTACCATTATAAGAAAACAAGGGAGGTCTTCATGGTGAGTTCTGGCACCTCTTTTTCTAGAAAAATAGCACTGGATGTTGCCATTCTGACCATTGAATCAACAGTTCATGCTCAGTTCCATCAGCTTCATTTCTATGGAGCTCTTCATTGCTCCACATCCTGCTCCTTGGCCATCTTCAACTGACCCTGGTGGAAATCTTTTTAGCTGAGTAAAGGAGGGGGTCCCCTACTTCTGTATGTGCGTATAAGCACCTTCTGTACAAATTTGCATGCATTTTAACTAATGTGTATTTAATATTGTGGAGATGTGTATCTGGTTTCAGCAGTGGCTGGCTAATGCAGCTTTTAGGCCAAGGCAGGACTGACAGCAAGGCTCAAGGGATTGGATGGATGGATTGCAATTTAAGTGCATTTTTTTGCTACTTTTTATACACACCATTGGAGGGTGAAGAGAATGAAATCTGAACCAGGAAGTCCATATTTCAAATTTCACCTCTGCCATAACATGAACACACTAGGTGGCCTTAGGCAAGCTACTCTCTGAGCCTCTAGTCTTCCAAATGCACTATGGAACATAATAATACCGAGCATTTAAAAAGGTTGCTATAAGGATTACAATTGGATCATGCATGTAAAGCCCTCTGAACACTTACAAGATCTATACAAATGTCATTGAGCAAAGTTACATGTGCTGTTGAGGAATAAAGCATCCTGACGGATGATTAGGACTTGTTGGAGCTGAAGTCCAACAACTGAAGGACCACAGGTCCCACATCCCTGGCCAGAAGTCTCTTGTGGACTTTTCTTCAACTGGATCCCTGTTGGCTAGACTTTTCTCATAAGTTGTATATTTACCATCTCCTGCTGGTCCTGAATCACAAGCAGGGTGGAGTTCTTTCCTTTGCAGTCATCTTGGCTCTCGGTCCAGGTTTTTTGCCCTTGAGAGATCCAGTAGCAGATGTCCCTGTGCAGTTCCCAGTCATTGGGACATATTTTGCAGTTTGGGGCATCCTCTAGTGGTAGAGAGGGAAAGCAAGAGGCAGAATATTTCTGTGCATAAATGGATGCTTTTATTTTCCCCGTCCTGGGAGAATCTGAGAATTTATTGCATATTACAAAATGTCTCATTGCAAAGGGGAGCTTTATTTATTTCAGTAAATAAACTTCCCAGGAGTTTTGAGTAACGTGTAGAATCCCAAATGGTCTCAGATGCTAGTTAAGCATTTCCCTCTTTTGAGAGGAAACTACATGGAAACCTGACTTTATGCTGCCTTGGTGATGCTGCAAGTTTTCATGAGGAGGAAATGTACCCGGGGCCAACACCCCTCTGGCCCTCCCTAAGCTATGCCACTACTGATGAACTCAGCGTGTGAAGAGGCTAAGCTGGTTGCTCTAGCCAGGCTGCATGACACTCACAAGCCAATCTTGTGCTCCTATACCAATAATTTACGAACTTCCACCACTTTGGAACTAAACTAAGTTTTACTGCCTGTGCAACCTTTCTGAGTGATGTATGGAACAGAACATGAACCTGACTTTTGAAGGGTTTGTAAGTAAACTATTTTTAAAGTACTAAACGTGGGATCTTTCCCTATGCTGAGGGAAGATGGTACTTTTTTTGGAACGCAATTGGAAAGACATATTTTAAAGGTCTAACAGTCTATATTTCCACACTTTACTTTGCCCCAAACTTGGATCTTGGAATCCAGGAATTTTCCTTTCTATATAATATCATGTTTTGCTTGCATCAACAGTTTCAACATGTCTCAGTTCCAGTTCTTCATCTGGCTATCCTGGTCCTTCTCAGGGTTTGCAGGTTAATGAAGCCTGCAAGGTTCTTTTCATTACAGAGATAGGAAAAAGACATTTGCAAGCCACAGCATAATCACTTAGGCTGAGAATTTATTTGAGCAGCCCTTCTAGGAGGATGCGGAAGTCAATACATCTGAATTCTGTGTCATTTTAAAAGTAAAACTTTAAAATGGTTTTTTGATAGTAAATCTCATTCGGAAGATGCAAGTGGCTGACGTCCAGACAGTGTTTCTGGTTCACATACACAAAGCATGAGTCATCCATGAGTGACTGAGGTTACCTGTTCCGCTCTGGCTTAGAGAGCTGCACATATAGCGTTTCAGCTGTAGCTTAAATTCAGAGTCAGTGCTGCTGCTGCTGGTGTCCTCTGGTGTTTGTTTAGGCTGCAAAACTAAATACATTTTATAGTGTTGCATTTGATCCTGAATATCAGCTCTAGTATTAAAAGATGCTATGGGCAACTGTTGGAATACAGTCTGTTTTTGTTGCACAGGAAAAGAAACATAGCCATTTTGTTTTGTTACATAGCCAAATGTAATTCACAAAGGATACATATGTTTGGCACCCTGTAACCTGTCATCAAATTATGAAGAATCCTGCTGCTCACATTGACTGGGACAAAGCAAGCAGGGCATCAAAGAGTATTCATAGGAATATTAAATAATGTTCATTATTTTAATTAAAATACAGAGGTGGAAAATAGGGCTAATCTTTAGGGTTGCAAAATAAGAAATACACTTCCCCATAGTTTATTCTGAGCACAGAACTGGGGCTTATTTGATGCATAATTTATCTTTTCTCAAATAAATAAATGTTTTTTGAAATGCCCACACTATTTTCTATTTTCTATTCACCAGCTGCTACGGTGCCTTTGACAAAAAGCAAATTAGCAGTAGCCTTCTAGGATGTCTCCATGATGATAACCTTTAGCGGACTGTGCGAGGAAATTTTACCTGTATTCACATTCTCAAGCTGCAATCCTATTCCCACCTGGGAGCAAACGCTACTAAATTCAATGGGGGTGGACTTGCACAGGATTGCAAACATTCTTGGGAATACCAACATTAAGCATGCAGTTACTCACCCAAAACTTTCAGCCTTACTACAGCCAGAGTGAGGAGGAGAATCACAGCGCAGGCAGTTCCAAGAGCAACGCGAAGGCCCTGTGTATACTTATGGACATCTGTAAGAATTAAAAGTTGATAAAAGAACTATGCTTTTTGGTGTAAAGAGATTGCAACTGATGCTGGTGTGACGTTATGAATTATGGCATCTACTGCCTGCACAAACAACCCTATTCAACATTAAGCTGAGGCGTGTTTTTTTTTGGGGGGGGGGGTTACACTCAAAGTGGTTTATTTAAATATGACATTTACAATGCATGAGAAGCACAAGATTCAGTAGCTACAGGCCAGTTTTAACAGACACAAGCTTTTGTACAGTTCTAAAGGAGATCCAAGAGATCTCTCATTTTTTTTAAAAAAGCCTAGCAATTCAGCTAATATAGATAGAAGATCAACTTACATCAAATCTATTACTTATTTATACAGTACATAACTAAAATATTGAATGCAGTAGACGAACACAAATTATAAAGGATAATGGATCAAACCTAAGATTCTTAGTACAGAATTCTGTTTGCAATTATGAAAACCTAATTCTCTCTGAATCGAAGCTATGACATTCTGCCGTAGTGTTTTTTTTATTTTTTGGGTTTTATAAAAAAGAATAATGGTATACAAATAAGTATACCAAGTCTTCTCATGTCATTTGTATATCACAAAAAATAGCATAATAAATGTGGGAAAATATCTACAACATATGTTTCTTTATTAGTGGTCAGTATATAAGTTCTTGGTTCATGAATTAGTTTCCCATCACCGCCATACTCTCTCCACAGTCCTGCAGTCTCACCAGATACTTTAGCTTCCCTCAAGGCAGCAGGGCAGTTTATACAACATTGCCTGCCCTCAGAGACTGATCGATCTGGTGGCTTTCCAGATTGCTCTGGGTGATTTCCCAGCTGATCTGTCTGGCACTGCAAAAACACTGGCCTGGACAGCTGACACAATCACTCCTGACTTCCTCTCCTGCTTAGCAGCCCCACACTTATGCCCAGAGCTTATTGCAATGATGCAAGTTGCCAGGTGGTTAGGATGCAGGTGGAGGAAGACTTCTAATGTCTCAAACCGAACACCGATACTCGCTGGTTATTGACACATTATACCTGGGGCTAGTTTTGAAAACATCAGAGCCATATGCATGTTCAGAACATGGCTGCAAAGTTCTTGACTGGGACCAATCAACAGGAACATATGAAGGAGTGACCGCTGGGTGTGTAGCACACTTCCACCTGCAGACAAGCCACAACTGTCTGAACATGTGACCTTCAGGTGTGGAGCACACTTCCACCCGCAGACAAAGT